CAACTTTGACGATCGTAATGCCTCTCTACAAAGGAGGGTGTCGCCTTTAAGAGTTAGGTATGAACAGTGGTCTTATACCAGTTCTTTTCCAAATTATCATTAAAAGCAACAGTCGTTGTTTCAATGAAGATGTGTTCCTAGAAGGGTGAACCGATGTTGTCTTTCATTTATGTGAATTATAATGAATGATATAATATGGCGCAACTAGAAAAACATCATACTAATTCAAGTTTTTTTTAGGATATTCCAGGAACAACGCAAACAAATCCAGATGTCTATGAAACTCAGAACCTGTTTTTGCAAGAACTCCTTATTCGTTTGTATGGCACTTCACTTCGAGACTCTACATCTTCGAATGCTATTTGAGGCAGATCGATGAAAATGGCGATTTTCAAGATAAGTTTCATTTTCGTCCTTCCTCAAATACACATCATAGTTCAATCCTTCTTTGAATACTTCTTCATGGAAAAAAAAAGACTTTTATCGGTTTCATTCAATCAAGTTGTCGAAAACTAGTCGGCATCCATGTATGGAATCACGTCAGGTACCCTTACGAGGGGAGAGTATCAACTTTGACGATCGTAATGCCTCTCTACAAAGGAGGGTGTCGCCTTTAAGAGTTAGGTATGAACAGTGGTCTTATACCAGTTCTTTTCCAAATTATCATCAAAAGCAACAGTCGTTGTTTCAATGGAGATGTGCTCTTAGAAGGGTGGACCGATGTTGTCTTTCCTATATGTGAATTATAAATGGATGATATATGGCGTAACTAGAAAAACATGATACTAATCCAAGTATTTTTCAGGATATTCCAGGAACAACGTAAACTAATCCAGATGTCTATGAATGTCAGAGCCTGTTCCTGCAAGAACTCATTATGCGTTTGTATGACACTTCACTTCGAGACTAGACATCTTCGAATGCCATTCGAGACAAATCGGAACAGCATACTAATCCAAGTTTTTTTTAGGATATTCCAGGAACAACGCGAACAAATCCAGATGTCTATGAAACTCGAACCTGTTTTTGCAAGAACTCCTTATTCGTTTGTATAGCACTTCACTTCGAAACTCTACATCTTCGAATGCTATTTGAGGCAGATCGATGAAAATGGCGATTTTCAAGATAAGTTTCCATAACATCCATTTTTTTCCTTCCTCAAATACACATCATAGTTCAATCCTTCTTTGAATACTTCTTTGTGGAAAAAACGACTTTTATCGGTTTTATTCAATCAAGTTGTCGAAAACTAGTCGACATCCATGTATGGAATCACGTCAGGTACCCTTACGAGGGGAGAGTATCAACTTTGGCGATCGTAATGCCTCTCTACAAAGGAGGGTGTCGCCTTTAAGAGTTAGGTATGAACAGTGGTCTTATACCAGTTCTTTTCCAAATTATCATTAAAAGCAACAGTCGTTGTTTCAATGAAGATGTGTTCCTAGAAGGGTGAACCGATGTTGTCTTTCATTTATGTGAATTATAATGAATGATATAATATGGCGCAACTAGAAAAACATCATACTAATTCAAGTTTTTTTTAGGATATTCCAGGAACAACGCAAACAGATCCAGATGTCTATGAAACTCAGAACCTGTTTTTGCAAGAACTCCTTATTCGTTTGTATGGCACTTCACTTCGAGACTCTACATCTTCGAATGCTATTTGAGGCAGATCGATGAAAATGGCGATTTTCAAGATAAGTTTCATTTTTGTCCTTCCTCAAATACACATCATAGTTCAATCCTTCTTTGAATACTTCTTTGTGGAAAAAACGACTTTTATCGGTTTTATTCGATCAAGTTGTCGAAAACTAGTCGACATCCATGTATGGAATCACGTCAGGTACCCTTACGAGGGGAGAGTATCAACTTTGGCGATCGTAATGCCTCTCTACAAAGGAGGGTGTCGCCTTTAAGAGTTAGGTATGAACAGTGGTCTTATACCAGTTCTTTTCCAAATTATCATTAAAAGCAACAGTCATTGTTTCAATGGAGATGTGCTCTTAGAAGGGTGGACCGATGTTGTCTTTCATTTAGGTGAAATAATGAATGATATATGGCGCAATTAGAAAAACATGAATGATACTAATCCATGTTTTCTTTTAGGATATTTCAGGAATAACGCAAACTAATTCAGATGTCTATGAATCTCGGAACCTGTTTTTGCAAGAACTCCTTATTTGTTTGTATGACACTTCACTTCAAGACTCTACATCTTCGAATGCTATTCCAGACAGTTCGATAAAAAAATGGCGATTTTTAAGATAAGTTTCCATAACAACAAATTTGTCCTTCCTGAAATACACATCATAGATCAATTCTTCTTTGAATACTTCCTAGTGGAAAAAACGACTTTTATCGGTTTCATTCAAACAAGCAGCTAATGATAAGAAATTCATTCCTGATGCTCTGAAATTAATTGATATGGTAATGTGAATGATCTTTATTCTTGAAAATATTTGTTCATTAGATGTTTATTACAGTCTTTTGTAATTTAATTCCTTTTGGCTATTTCATGTTTAGTTTCATTAACAGATTTGCTAGGGAATCAATCAATTAAATATTCTATATACATGTATAGTTCCGATTTGAAATTGATTAGTTTCAATTCGAATTGTTTAGTTTGAATTTGGATTTGTTTAATCCATGCCATCTCTTTCTGAAAGTGATTAATCCCAATTTGATTTCGTTCATTTTCAATTTGAATGTGTTGCTGATTCATTTCGTCCCAATTCGAAAACATTTATTCCCATTTTGAAAATGATTGGTCTCAATTTGAAGTTGAAAAGGTATAGCCGTAAGTTATAAAGATTATGAGTTCTGTGAGGTGAATACATTGAAACTTCAACGTGTGTCGGGAATAATAATAATAATAATAAATGATTTGTATTGCACTTCAGCCCATGTGTTCACATACTATTGATATATAGTGAGTGAATTATTTTGGTAATAATTTAATCCTATATAATATTGAGAGAAAAAAATATGATAATTGTCATAGCATATGAACTGGATGCCTTGGTGGGTTTCTGACGATTGGATTTCTCAGGAGGCACATGGTGGGAATGATGTCTTCATTTCATTGTTTCCTTTTGAATTTACAAGTGAAAAGCTGTAGCCTGTCCTTTTTAGGTTGTATGGATGTCATCTGGTACAGGAGCTGGTTGGGAGGGGGGTTGTGTAGTGAGTTATTAGAAAGTCGAATTTTGGTGATTGATCTGATTGCACTTGTTTCAGCTATTTTGATATTTTGCATGGCTGGTCTTTTAATGTTGCGCAATAACACATTACCATATTCTTTGAGAGGCCTGCATATTAGTTTATAAATCCGGTATTTTGTGTTCAAGTTTAGTCCTTTGCCTTTGTATGTGAGACTCTTGAAGTGTTTTGCTCTGGCTATTACATTCTTCTTAAGTTTGGCTGTATGCATGTTGAGATTGATTTTATTATCTATTGTTATTCCTAAGTATTTTGTGGATAGTTCTGGATGGATGGGATTAGGGTCCCTTGATGTAAACTGACGTATTTGTCATCTAAACAGGGTACGGACAGATCCTCGTCTCCTCTCACTCTAAAGTGTTTGTGAAACAGTTATATAGTTCCATCTTCATTCATTTCTGGGGATAAACACTAGATTTTTGGCATTTGTTGTTTTTTAGGTTATATTGAGGTCACTGGCGTATCATACGTAATTTCCATATGGAATTCCTGATTCAACTATACCAAAATATAGATGAACAATCCTCTAGTTTTAGAGTTTACTATAGTCCCGCATAATTTTTTAGAGGTAGCTAAGGGAACATATGAATTTTACTGAAAGCTCAATATATTTCACCAAAAGAGACTGTTCTTAGACTGTATACAAGGGTTGACTGAATTGACTGAATGAATTCTGATTTCAAACTGAGCAGTAGTTTATCTATGAGCTGAATGAGCTGACCCTTATGATTGAGAAATGGTGAAAACCTCGATGTGAATATCTAAACTACTGTACTCATGTAATGTGTGCTAAATATATTTTCGGAAATCCAACTCGAAGAATTTATGGAGTGACTAATATAAACTATGTATAAAACTTCGTCTAGGGCGAAAGGTAGGCTGATAAAAAGTAATACGTAAAATGTGCAGGGAAATAAAGAATAGAATATACTTCACTCCCATGTTATACATGTGATTCTTCCGTCTTCCTCAAATAAAAAGTCATTTTCGAATAATTTTTTGATGAAAGTAACAAACAAGTAGGTATACGCAGTATAACTTAAAGGCACGTTATTTTCACTCTTGCATCCTACATTTTTTCTATTTGTGATAGAGTAGTAATTATATAAACTAATGTCTTTTGCCATATTGGATCCGTCGTCATCTTGGATTTTCTAATTTTGACGAAACAATCATTATCTCTTACCCCGAAAACCCTCAGATATCAATTTTGAATAGAATCGGATCTTCATCACAAAACTTGTTCGCCATATGATCTTCCTCAACAATTAAATACCCTGTACATACCTATTATTAAAATTTCGAATGATTTTATGGATGTGACGTGACAGCAATGTCAGGGATGCCAGTAGACAAAACTAAAGTCTCTAGATCATTGAAAAAGAATGCACCTATGATCTGTCCGTACCCTGTTAAGATGACTTTAATGTCAATTTCCATCAAGGGACCCTAGATGGGATGATTATATAAATTGATTCTTGGGGAGTTGATAGAAGGTTTGTGGTTGAAGATGATGTGATGAAATTTGTTAGGATTTGGGAGTAGTTTACATTTGCTTAACCATTGAGTTGTGTTGTCAAGCAGATTTTGAAGTTCGGCAATAGCGAGATTCGGAGTTTTCCCATGTGTTACCAAAGTAGTGTCATCTACATATTGCATCACGTAGCTTGAATTATTGTAGTGTTGCGCGTCTTGATGGTATATGTTGTAACAATTTAGGTTGTAGAGAGTTGGTGAGAGGGAATTTCTAGAAAAATAGATAGTAGAATAATATTTACCAGTTTCTCCTACATTTTTCAGCAAGCTTCTCGGGTTAGGTTTGACACACAGCGGCAGCGAAATGACGTTCTCTTTTTGGTCGGGGTTAGTTATCATGTAGTACAGGATGGTTTTGTTGCTGAAATTGTCCATGTTGCTGGTGTTCATCGGTTGCTTGAGCACGTTCGTTATCTGGCAGTCGATCTGCTTGTTCAGAGGGGTGATTTGTTCTTCTCCCAGCTGATGCGGTTCCTCGTAAATTGTTTCCACTGATTGGTATTCAGATGGCGATGACTGTTCGCTAATATCGCCTTCAGCTAGTCAGACAAAGTAATTATACGGGTAACAGTTGCAACTATCCGATAATTAAAAGTAATTTTTCAAACACAGAAATATATCCAAAATGTTTTAATAATATTTTGGAGAAGCTGAAGTTATCAGTAGAACTGACGATAATAAAGAAAGAGGCTGATAAGGGTAATGAAATTGTGATATTGAACAAAACTGGCTTCGTGAAATAATCAATCTTTGAGGACCACTCCATATCAATGAATTGTTTTTATCTCTTTAAGTGAACGAAAGGAAATTCCTACAGGGAGAGGAGGTAGGTGTTGGATTTTTTTTTCAACATTTGGAGGTTATAAGTTCTTGGGAATACTTAAATTGGTAAAGAATTCCAAAGTTTCGCCGTTCTATAGTCAACGAATTTTGGTACAGTGTTGTTCGGCAGTTTTCAACGTTAATGACGAAGGGATGTGCTGACTGAGCCTGTCGAGTTCGTCTGACTGATATTGTTAATGATGGAATTATAGCAGAAATTGTTGGGGTGTAATAGATATTTACGTAATCAGTTAGGAAACGCGTTGTTTTGTGTAACGATGGGATTTTGCGTTACACAAAATGGCGTTTCCTAACGTGTCACGTACAATATTTTTTCTAATTTTGACGAAACATTTCGCATGAACAAAAATAATGACCAGTTTTACATGAGTTCTGCCGACTCTTGTTGTGTGAAATGAATGAATGAAATGAACATTACATCACCAGTTATGTAAAATTTTACTTTACGCAACTGGTTACGTAAAGTAAGACGTTTCAAAACTTCCATCAGTTTTGAAAAGTGTCACATTACATGTCAAAATTAGAAAAAGTAGATTTTCGCACGGAACAAGAAACCGAGTTTTTGTGAAGCAGCTTTTGCAATGAATCGAACATGATTTTCCCATGAGAGAGTATTGGTGATGGTAATACCGAGCATAGATATAGTGGTCTTGATGGGAATGGTGGTACCAAACATTGTTATATCAGGCATACTGAGTTCCGCCTTTCTAAAGAAAATACAAGCTTGCGTTTTGGTGGCGTTGAATTCAACTAAGTTGTTGGTTCCCCAGGCTCTAATTTCCGCAAGATCTCCATTGACAGTTCGCCTGCCCCCGTCGCAAGTTCTTAGTTTTCTGGGAAGAAATGGGAATTCTAGTAGAGAACACAGTATAGAGACTTGACTTCATCAACATGCTCCTGAATTTTTTACACGTACTCGAGAAACACCCTGTACAAAATAATAAATCAGATATTCTATACTGTCGATCATGTTACTCATGATGGCTACGTTCAGCGGCAGGTCGGACCATGGTCAATTCGTCTCAATTAGTTCAGACCATAGTCAGACTATGAATCAGGCTGTGGACCACGTAGTCCCATTTAGAATAAGGCCAAGCAAGGTCTAAATCGTTCAGTCCATCGTTTCCGTCAATAAACGTTAGTTATATTCGACATGAATTTATGACACGCAAATGCATTCGAATTTGAACGAATCTCTTCTCTTCGCGGGTGAGATAACATGATGGCCAACAAGTTCAAAAGATATTATTGCTTTGTGCCGCAGTGTAAACAGTATAAAAATACAAAATGTGTCGATACAAAGCTTGTCAACAAGATGCAAAATGTGGCAGAACATACCTATCAAGAAATGAGGGTAGCCCATTCCCAAATGTACGTCTGTCTGTAGCAGATACTTCTTAGAAACAGATTATTAGGGTAATTTCTATCATTTTTCCATCTATTCAGTGTTTTATATGATGTTCATTTATTCCAGAGGAAATAGATTCTAAATGTATATTTTTTGTGAAGCAGATGCAATACCCTCACATATGATGATAATACATTGCACCAAAATGTAAAACCTGTGATCGATGGACCTGGATGAAAATAAGAGTGGTCATTTTGGTACAAAACATGTCTTCAATCATTCGCCAATCTATATCAACTAACTTATCCTTGAACTGAGGAAGGATCAGGAGCTGGTATTTATGGGGCCAAGCCAAAGACAAGAATCTCACTGAGCTTAGGCAAATACGCGACGGTGTTTTAGGCAGAAATTATTGCAATACATCATTGCGTGAAAGAATTGATAAGGCAAGAGTTTAAGGGCAAAACCATTGCAATCTATTCAGATGGCCAGGCGGCAATCAAAGCAGTCAACTCTATGCAAGTTAACTCAAAGCTAGTATGGGACTGCTTAGAAACCCTAGATGCACTGGGCAGTCAGAACAGATTGACTCTAGCATGGGTACCAGCACATACAGGGTACGAGGGCAGTGAAGAGGCAGACTCACTTGCCCGAGCAGGAGCAAACAAAGCTCTTAATGGCCCAGAACCCTTCTGTGGTATTGCGAAAGCTATACAAAAGACTAGTATCAAATCATGGATGCAAACCAAATCTCAAGAATGGTGGAACAACTCGCCAGGAATGAGACAGGCAAAAGAGTTTATTAAAAAACCATCGCCAACATTCACAGAATATCTACTAAGCCAGAAACGAAGTTCAATTAGAATACTAGTGGTACTTCTCACAGGGCATTGTAGGCTCAACAAACACATGAGTACGATAGGTCTGACTGAAGAACTGCTGTGCAGGTTCTGTCAAAGAAGAGGAAGAAACAGCAGTACACATACTTTGCCACTGTGAGGGCTTGTCAAGACTAAGGTTCCTTACGCTGGGTGAGGAAAAACCAGGAGCCCAGAGATACACAGGAGATCTGAAAGCTAGCCTATGGAGTCTCATAGAGAAGGCAGGGCTAGCCGAAGAACTCTAATCGATTTTGAGGGCAGTCACAATAGATCTGAAAAGGTCGCAGTGTGGAGGCAGATAGCCCGATGGCCCCATTCCAAATCTAATCCTTAGTAACAGGAGTGAATCTGATGATAATAAAGATGCTGAAAGGATATAGGTAGACCTCCCTCACCAGTTTTGATGAAACTTTCACCAGGACTGATATCATCATATTGATGTGAACATGCCAATGCATTTTCCATGTAAAAGACAATCCAGTGCAATTTCAGTAGCAAATGGATTTCCATACTTTCAGTGATGATAATTAATGCAATACCTAATTTTGTTTTGTTCCAACATAATCTAGGACATGATTAACACTATGAATACTTTCAAACTTCATTTCATTCATCACAGATGTTTGAAAATTCCTCATCAAAATCGATGTTGTTGTGAAAAGGAGTCTGCTGCAGAGGAAGACAATATACACAATGAATATATGAGGTATTTTGCTCTTCATATTCTTGATAAAAATGAATATTTTCAAATGTTGTTCTTCCTGCTTTGTTGTGAAAATGTATGTGAGGCAGATAATGTGTTACCTGAAAAAAAAAATAACATCAATTATCAATTGAAGTTAGAAATTTCATCAGATTCAAACTTAACCAATCAAGAGCATAATTGTTTTGTAGGAAAACACAACAGTTTCTTCAATCCTTGTCTTCATCGGGAAAAGCTATAGTTGTAGGCTCTACTTCATACATTGCCAGCTCCAATGATCTCAAGTTTCTGTACACTTTTTACTTGACACAAATAACATTTCCAGCATGGTATACCTGTTCACCACCCACCATCGGCCGATATATCTATTATTAATATATTTGAGAATGTCCACCGAATTTCAACAAGCATCATCGTTCAAAAATCACCCTAACCACTCAAATTTCGAAATAAAAATGAAATTGTCACATCACATATCAAATGGGGGTTCTCATGACAACTTTGACAGATACTATACAATGCATGGACCGATGTCGTTCAGAACTCCTATGCTTGTTGTGGTCCAACTACGGTGGTCCAGACCTGCCGCTGAACGAAGCCGTGATGTGAATAATCAAGCTCAAAATCAAGCTCTGCTATCAAAAGTACACTACCTGTCACATGCAGCCCGTCTTCCATCTCGTACCCCTCGCTATCGCTATCGTTCCCATCGACGTACTGCTCCTCCACAGCCTGCTCTTCGTCTAGCCCTTCTTCATTGCCGTAGAGGCCCTTCGAGGGCAGTCCGACCGCCTCGGCGGTTCTGGAGTCGTCCTCGCAGATCTCGATGTTCTGCGATTCGAAATGACGGTACTCTAGGACAGTGTCTTCTTCAGAGGCGACCGCGTCTGATTGGAAATAAATAGTGGTTTGCAAAAAATTAAAAGTAAAAAAATTACTCTAAAAAAAGCTTTTATTTAACCGCTCTAATAAGAAGATAATACAATTTTTACATTTCATCTATCAACTTATAACCTCATTATACACAAATAAATACGCCAAGATCAAAGTCATTTCCACGAATGTTCATGAATGAACGAATTTTGTTTTTCTTATTCTGGTTCCCAAGAAAAGGGATATTCTGTAATGTTCAGGGAACATCGTGAGAACCAAGGGAAATTAGGTAGAAATTGGTGTTCTTCTTAAATTTCTGTAGGTTTTATGCCTTCGGGAACACCTCCCTTGGCAACGAGTTCCAGAGCCTCGCTGTTCGTTAGATGAACCAGTCTTTGGAAAGAGATGTTCTGCAGGTCTCCAAAGTGACCACAAAGGGGTGCGAAGCCTCAACTCGACGGGTTAATCTCGCGGGGACTGCCAACGGAGAAACAATTGTTGATATTTCAGAAGAGCATCGTCCATGAAATCTATAAAATAGTGCCAGATCGCCAGCTTTTCTACGATGTTCCAGAGAAGTGAGTGAGTTTGTGAGCGAGGCATCACCACGAGACGAATTGCCCTTTTTTGGACAGAATCCAACAGTTTCAGCGTATGTTTGGGTGCTGCACCCCAAATATGGGAACAGTATTCCAGGACAGGTCGGATCAGTACCTTATAGATCATGAGCAGCTGACTGGAAGTGAAATAGCTCCTGGCCCAAGTTTTTGGGGTGCACTTTTAGCAATTGATCTCACGTGATTTTCCAAAGAAAGGTTATTGCTGACAAGCTTATGTTGGGCACAGTGAGATCGGCCTTACTAGAGAAAAGGCATGCTTGTATTTTGTTTGCATTGGAATCTACCAAGTTATTGGATCCCCATTCGATTGTTGCCAAGTCCATATTTATGTTTCTCCCTCGTTTGTATCTGATTTGCCTGGCTGGTCCCCGCGAAAATGTTTGAATATATTTTGTTGGGTAATGAATTGCAACAATTGTAGGAATGATGGTTTTGGTTTTTTTCATGAGGAAAACAAAATTTTTGTTTTTGATTCAACCTAAAAATCCTAATCCATCAGTGGTGCATTTTATAAGTTTCCATTCCCAAACCAAAAATCAACACAGTTGGCCTCAAAATCTCAAGATATACAAAAAATTATTTTCTTTACAGAACATTTTAGTTCCCAACAGCATAAACTAGCAAAATAGAACTACATATCATAATTATTGATTTATTGATATTCTACTTGTTGATATGAACCTGGAAATTACTTGAAATTCCAAATCAAACCTCCTCATTTTTCCAATATCCTCTATTATTCAATTACTTTCTTTAGTTATTATAAATATATTCATCAATATTATAAATTTACCTTCAGCATCATAATCTTGTGATAAAATTTCTTGAGAGTGTTCTTCTGCTATGTTACTGGCTTCATAGATAATTTCTTCAGCTTCCCTTTGGCACTCAACTTCTTGAGCTATCTGATCTTGCATTATATTATACTCTTGTTTGATATTAGAAGTAAGAGATGCTTCTATCAAACCTAGAAATAAAAGGTCAAAATACTTGGCAGTCATGTGTATGGAACCAGACCTAAATGTTAAGAATATAGTGTAATATGATATGATTTATTTTTCATAAAAACTATCATTCTATTACAAATGAACAGTAGAATGCAATTCCTTGGAGACTAATGAATAAATTCAGAAAATATGTGTTCCTGGTCAAATCATTTATGCTGGTAATTTTTTATAATTTGAATAATTTAAGGAAACTGTTATTTCATAAAGTCAGTGACATTCTTCTCCCTTCTTTCTAACCAGTTATTTTTATTTTTGTTTTCTTTACTATTTTCAGATCTATACTAACTTGGCTTCACATCAATTGCTTCATCTTCCCTAGCATATTCACTAACACAATTATCAAATATTTGAGTATCATCCAGTTGATTTTCCAGTTCTTCTTTAGGTTGATTTGCTCCAGCTGTTGGTTCAGATTTTATAAAAACAAATACAGTTTCTGAACCTTCATCAGTCTGATTCTCATTTTCAGTTTGAATTTCTTCAATCACATTTTCTGCATCCTGCATATATATTGGAGTATCACTGTTTTCATCTAATTCTTCTTCCACAAAGACTTCTGTTTCAAATACTACTTCTTCAAGTGTTTTGTCCTGATTATCAACAGATTCATGGGTCTCTTGGCTGGAATCTGGTGGCAAGTCCTCTGATGCATTATTTTCTTCAGCTAAGAGCTGAATAGTTTCTGGTATAGCTTCAAATTGGCCCTCCTCATTTGTTCTACAGAAAAAAAGGATGAAATCAATAAATTACATTCATCAAATATTTTAACTACTGAACAAATATTAACCTGACTTGAAACTGATATTTCTGCATATTTCCATCCTCATCTTGTGCAAACTGAATACCATATAGATCATCAGATCCTTCCATGTTGAAAATAACTACTTGATGATCACCTGCATCTATCCCATCACTATCTTCAGGTACATCCACAGGTTCAGTTTGTAAATTTTCCTGTTCCATCAACTTAGGATTGCCTATTGTCAGATTGTGCAAATCTTCTAGGGTAACATCATTGGAAGATTCCAGTACAGATAAATATTGAGTTTCATTTTCATCAATAGCAGTTGCATAACTATCATTGATACTGTCAGTCATTGAACAGTCTCCATTACTTGAGACATCCAATGGTGTTGAAACTGCTACCTGATTTGTCCATGTATGGGAGCCACTCTCTGCCACAGACGATTTGTCCATGAATTCAAAGCACTTGGACATGATATTTTCCTAGAGAATAGGATTCATCAAATCCATTCAAATTGGATTCTGGGTCTAAGGAATTCTTACCTAATCATCAATTATTGTACAAGTTTGTCATGTGGTAATTTGTTTATGCTCAATAATACCAGAGGAGTCAACCACTAGGAATAGCAAGGGATCCCAGTATTTTATCCACAAGGATAATATTAGTGAATTTCCTGAGGAATTTCCTAAAAATGACACCCTAGACAATCCTATAACATGCTTAGGAAGAACACTTTCTGGCCACCATCAAAAGATTTATTATTGTGGTTTATTGCAGATTCTAGATGAGTCAAGAAAGATGAATTATCAAAAATAATGATAATTATTAAAAACAGGGATGAAAAATACGTTAATAGAAGTTTTGCCAACATGAAAAATTCTAAAAATCTAAACACGATAGAAAATAAGCGCACGTCACCTTTTGAAAGCTGTCAAAGCGGTCTGTTTACTTTGTTCTCATTGGTTTACATTTGTTTTTTCTTTGTGCTTATTGGTCACATCTATCAAAACAAACCGTCCAGAAGTGTTGAATGTTGCCGTCACTGCCGTCAGGACCCAAGGGTCAGGACCAGCGTAGCCTCGTGGTTGAAGCGTTAGTATTCTATTATTCCAAATTTTTTGGGATTTTCTCTCCTCGTTTCTATAAAATAAAAATATGAATATTATTTCAATATACGTGTAGTATTCTAATTGGATTGCCGGTAGGTGGGTTCGATTCTTCGATTCCCAACACGACCGCAAAAATTTTTCTGATGGCTAAATGAAAACCTAGTAGGCGACCTAGTGCCACCGTCATTCCTTGCTCGTAGTGTTCGCACAAGTCACAAGTCCCTTGAAGACTTTTGAGGCTTGCTGGTAAGGGTGCAACCAGGTGCAACCGAATGATGGATAAGAACAATTTTACAACAATAATTTTAAAACAATTTTAGGTGGGGCGACATGTTATTTTCTATCGTGAATGAGAATATTGAGAATGTCTCAAACTTACATCATACATTCCTGTATGATCTAAGGTCTCAAATGTCTGTTTATTTGAAATGCTCGGAAATGTTCTTTCCACTGACACAATATAGCATTCATCATATGGAGCTACTTGGATAGTTTGGTCTCTTTTCAACTCATGTGAAAAGTTGCGTACGCTTAATAAATTGAATGAAACAAAGCAAAGTCAGCCGTCAGTCAATGTCAAAGCCAGTCCAATACACGTCAATGTCAAAACTGTCAATTATTGTCAGAAGTCAGATGTCAGGTTAAAGTTTATTTTGATTTGATTGCTGTTGCTGTGATTGTTTTGAAAAATTATGTGCTTAGCATTAAAATTTACCGTTTCAAATTAAAATTCTGAGTAGACAAGAACTAGTTTTATCATTTAGAATGCAATCTTTATTAGAAAGAACTTGACATCAATGACATTCCTATGAACCTTATGTTGAAAATGCATAAGAATGTGAAAAATGTTATGACTCATTTCACAATGAATAATTTCTGGCTTCTGGGCATGTAATAGTTTACTTACCATTAATAGTTTACAGACACACTAGGATAGTGAAAATGAAATTATAAAAACTGATGATTCTACAACCATAATGATGCCAGATTCAGTAGAAGAAAATTTGAGAAGGGTTTTGAAGGGCCTACCCTTGGATTCAGAAGAAGCAGAAATTTGTGATTTTAGCTTAGAAGAGCAAAATGAAGCTTTGGAATCACAAGGGATACAACCAAGTGTTGATCCAAAATATAAACCAGTCATATGTGAAACCATAATGTATATTGTTGCTTGTGTAATAGTAAATGACTCTGATGAGGTATTAATGATGCAGGAAGCTAAAAAATCTTGTGCAGGCAAATGGTGGGTATACACAACTCATTGATTATGTAAAATTCTATAAGGTATGATCTAGGTATCTACCAGCTGGGCATATGGAAAAAGGTGAAAATATAATAACAGCTTGTGAAAGAGAAGTACTAGAAGAGACAGGTTTGAAGGTCCACTGCACCACTTTGCTGATGGTAGAAACAGCAAGAGGTAGCTGGATGCGGTTTGTTCTAACTGGAAACATAGTTGGTGGGAGTTTGAAAACTCCTTCTGAAGCAGATAAAGAGTCACTCCAGGCAAAATGGGTCAAGGATTTGGATGAATTGGAGCTCAGAGCTGGGGATATAACACACCTTATTTCAAATGCTAGGTAAATAACATGTCATTTCAACATGTTGAAATCCACAGTTCAATATTTTGTTCTAGCCTGTGTCCTTACTACAGGAAAGTTTATCCCTTTATTTTTATAAATTCCTTGTGACTTTTGTTTGCAGGGAAATACACCAAAATAGGCAAATAATGTCATAACAATGGTAGTTTTATTGGTAATAAAGTCAATAATATTGATTATGTATCACTTTCAACAATTAGAGAAAACAAAAGATTAACAAATTATAAATATTTTCAAATAATAACAAATCCATCAATATTTTTGTAGCAGGTGCCTATCAGAAAAAAAACTAAGAGTCCCCAGTCTTGCACTTTTGACAGTTTATAAAACCATGCCTAAAAAATTACATTGTAAAATCAACATAAAATATCAGAATGATTTTTTTATCTCATCAGAATTGATTTGCAAGTAACTTACTTGGAACGCAATATTGCCATTGGTGCTTGTATTTCTTCCATTTTATAATCTGTCACATTTTGTAGCCTTTCAGTCCAACATGTTAAGCCCACATCCACTCTACTTGCTGCTATGATAGCAGCTGCTAATTTTGATGGTGTGAAACACTGCATGTAGTGAACACCTGAAATTAATATAAAGCTATAAAAAAATAAGTAAGCTCAAAAATGAAAAACAATTTGAATTCATTTCTTTCAATTGATTAGATTGATTATAGCAATTAGTTATGAACAGTTGTGTGTTAAAATTATTCAGACTCAATTTTATAGGCTACTCTTAGATCTTCTAGTTACTTCACAATATTTATCATAATATTTAATTCTAACTCCAAAATATATTGATTTCATTATAAGTTCAAGTTATCTTGATGCCATTGTCAATTTGATAATGAAACTCATGTAAATTCATGATATAGGATATTTTTATGATTTTATTTGAATAATCCTCTTCTGAGTATCACCTGGTATCACATCACAACATCCCATCATTTGTAATTGAAGGGGCAAGTGGAAGAAATATACAAATATGAGTTAGTGAGAAAAATAGGTTTTAGTAAAGTTAGCTGACATTTTTACATGGAAGCTAGTTTAATAATTTGATTTATGCAGTTGTGAGGAATATTTTTAGGTTGTTTTTTTTATGATTCACCGCATTTTGCTATCATATCATTTTTTTATATACATATGATTCATGTTTACTTAACCCCTTCTTCCATGACATAACAGAATATTTCCAGAAAATTTTACTTGACCCCTTTTTCTTCTTGTCCCTTCAATTATTTCCTGGTCTGGTATATATTCCACTTTAAATCCGTATGTTATGGTAAAAAAGTGGTATTTTAAATCCCTAGGGTTTAAAGTACATTTTAAATCCATAGGTATTTACAATACCACTTTTTTCCTAAATCTGGATCATCATAGTTACTGAGGTCATTGATATGGTAATTATCAGCCCCTTCCATGACATTTCAGGAATAGAGCACTAACCATTTAGTGGCATTTGATTTTTTTCCTTATTTTCAACATTTTACCTAACCTGAAGTACATAAAATAGTACATACACCTCAGGACTAGTGTTTTTGAATTCCTTGACAAATTATAGCTCTCCTGTTGGTTAGGCTGTACACTTTTTGTCTGGGTATTTAAAATATCACTGTCCCTAGGAGTATAATGTACTATTCAAACTGTTCTCTCAGGGAGATTAAATTGCACATTCCTACAAGAACATGGATTAGGCACAAATGACACTACTCAATAGGAATTGTGTTCAGCTGAGAGTTTCTTGAATATTGATATGTGAAAGGAATTAAGTTTATTTGGAATGGTATACTCACTCCCGATTATTTGGTCTAGATAAGCTGTAATGCAGTCATGTAAGTTGTAAAAAAGTGTCCTCAGATTGTCCTTTTTGTCTCTCAAGTCGTCGAAGGATATCACCGATTGAATGTAGTAGTAGATGTAATGTGCTGTGGTGGGGAACATGATGTACCAGTGGAAAAACCTCAGCAACACTATCTCCAGGTTTTTGAATTCCCTGAGGGGATAGCGGTTGTTGTTGGCTGCATTGAGTTCCGCCATTTTGGGAATTGTTACATTGTTCTCTTCAAATTTGGCTGAAACAAAAAAGTCTAGATTCAAAGCTAGACCCCCTTTTTGTATGCATATTTTACAAGTCAGTCAGCTGTTTGTGTGAAAAAACAATGGAAAATACAAACTTGAACCCGAGCTTTATCCTTACCTGCAACAAGTAAACAAACATTGGCAACAAGTAAAACTCGTTCAGGTACTATGGAATGGTTATCCATAAAAATATCCAGAAGGTACACTGTTAGATGCAAACAGCAGTGGCTCAATTTCTTTTCTATGCATATTCTTTTGATATATTCCACTAGGTGATGTCTATAGGAAAACTGAAAATGAATATCACTATAAAAAAAAATGAATCCATGGACATAACATGATAATATAAATTTTTTATCATTTATATCTTATCCGGAAATCGTTATACCTGTGGAGATTGATGAAAAAACGGTATTCTATTTTTTTCACGTTCTTTTATAACTTTCTTGAAATTGTCTTCATATTCCTTTATGTCATCCCAAGCTTCTTTCTGTAACTATAAAATTATATGGTGTGGAGTACAATGAATAGTAATAAATCATTGATCATCACCATGAAATCATTGATGAAAAAACTACTTACGTAAAATACAGAATTTTTTGACATGAAATATCTCATATTTACGATTACCTACTGGACATGCACACGTTTTGTATTGCTGTGAAATTTTGCAGTAGAAAAAACTCGCTTCGTAGAATTCAAACAAAAAATGGAGCAAATAACATTTTTTGTTCTACAAAATATAGGGAGATACATGAAACATAGTATAAGTATTTGATTCCTATTGACATTTTTGAATTCAATGATGAAAATTGTGATTCCTAGCAAAAATGGTATGATAAGTTTCAATTATATTCATCAAGATAATAGCGGATCACTAAAGGTTGTGGTCATGCTTTTAGTTAGTTCAAAATAATAAATTCCATATAATTATATTACCATACAATACAATTGTGGATTCTGAAAATTTTGAAATATACAAGGTGATACAGTTTTTTTTTGAAAAATATGGAATAAATGGTTGATAGATCTTCGAGCATTATACAGGATGTTGCGAAATTCGACCGACAACGCTTGACAAGTGATAGCCACTGATAATCACTGAGGTAGGGACATTCAGTCTTCAAGTGTTCAGTTCTCGAGATACAGGGCGTTAAAGATCAGAAATAGAAATAGTTTTTTCGCAATATCTAAGGAATGATTGAATATTGCATTCAAATTCGGTATATGGTTTCATATTTGAATAGGTCATTTTTTGACCAGAAGGCCATTCCGGATATTTCATCCAGTGGTGCCCTACCGACGCGTGAACTGCATGAAATAGTCCATCAAATATATAGGATGCTGTATCAGTTTATCTTTTATTTTGAATATGTCATGTTGCTAGAGAAATATTAGAAAGATGATGATATTTATTATAAAATACATCCCAAGAAATACACACCTTCTTTCTTAACGTGATTATTTGGTGTTATATAATCTATTATCATCTTTAAGTTTCTCGAAGATATATCCCTAAATGAACTTCTATAGTATATAATATATGGTGTCCCACGTTGAAATAGCATAGAAGATTTCGGCATCCTAGTTCTAGTTGTGTGAAACTGGCTCAGCCAATGCTTTGTGTTTTTGAGAACCTATGATTACTCTACTGTCAATATTTGGTAAACATTCATTCCCGATAGCCCATTTTACGCAAATAGGATGACTTTAATTTCTCTCTCAAATATACTTGTACGCTTTTTTTTTTTTGAATACGACTGTACTTGAATTTCATTGTCCTATTTGAGTGAGAATGCATCACTGACATAAATAATATTTAGACCGCTATTGGTCATATCTCAGCAACCCAAAAATCTCATCCATATTGCTCGACTGAAAGCGCTTCTGCTCAGTGCGCAGTAATCAAATTGCCGTTCATGACAGCGAGTCATGTTCGAAAACATGAGCAAGAGTGAATAAGATATATGACAGGTCCTAAATGCACAGGATTCAGCTCCACCAGTCCGATCTCGTAACCTTAATTATGAAATTAGCGGTCCAGGTTGCAGTGACCTTTGCGCCCACAGAACCTGGGTCGGCCAGGGTCGATGTTGCTCTAGTTCGTCAATTAATTTTTTTGTTTTTAATGAAATCATAATAAATGGCTTACCAGATCAAACTACCTCAGGCTCGCCATGACTACTTTTATTTTTTCTGCTAAATCTGAAGCCCCAATAAACTATTCTCAACCACTCCAACACACCACACACCAAACGGAAAAACACCACAATGACTAATAACGAGCTTGCACTCGACAAAACAAGAGTTGATAACTGCTTTTTCTGATGTTCGAACAATTCCATCCTTGTTTTCTACATCTGTATTGTGATATTGTTACGAGTATGGTCCACCTTGAGGGATATAGACCACTAGATTATATTCGAGGGTAGCTCACATTTGGTAGGACTTACTAATAGGTGCTTCCACCATGTTATAACATAGGGTTGTTTTTCCTATATCGATTTATAAGGAGTTTTTTTTTTATCGCTTGGAGCGCACGAAAGGGAATTCCTATAATGTTCAAAGAACATCGTGCTTGATGGTTTGCGAGAGGTAATGTTTGAATAGGCACTACCAGTTTTGGGGGTAGCTGAACGTACGAGGCTATAATCAAACACAACAATATTTATTATTTATAGTAGTGAGTAGTAGTGAGGAAATATAAATTGAGAACAATGTATACAGGGTGGGTCACGGTCGATGGCACCTTAGACGTTTACGGAAAACGGGACATAAGATCATTCTGAAAATTTGGTTACTCAAGTAATTGCTCTTGATCTATCGATCTAAAATATTTTCAGCTCTGCGGCGTTGCCGCTTCTATCGAAAAGTAGCAACAACTTTGTTATTTTAAATGGAACACCCTGTATTTTATCGCATTTTCAGATTCTCTCTGAAGAGCTGATTTCATCGATGTATCACACTTGGGGTCTAGCGGAAATGATTACAGAGATATAGGGTGTGAAAAATCGACATTTTTCAACTTTAGGAATTTTTTTTGTCGAAACTATTCATTATTGGTCAAAACGGCTCACATGTCCCTATCCCAACTTTTGATCAACTATCTACTGACATTTAATTGAAACAAATACAGGGTGGTGCAGAATTCAGATTCTTGATCACCCGGTATATGTCCCAATTGAATATCAGTAGATAGTTAATCAAAAGTTGAGATAGGGACATGTAAGCCGTTTTGACCAATAATGAATAGTTTCGACAAAAAAAATTCCTTAAGTTGAAAAATGTCGATTTTTCACACCCTATATCTCTGTAATCATTTCCGCTAGACCCCAAGTGTGATATATCGATGAAATCAGCTCTTCAGAGAGAATCTTAAGATGCAATAAAATACAGGGTGTCCCATTTAAAATAACAAAGTTGTTGCTACTTTTCGATAGAAGCGGCAACGCCGCAGAGCTGAAAATATTTTAGATCGATAGATCAAGAGTGATTACTTGAGTAACCAAATTTTCAGAATGATCTTATGTCCCGTTCTCCGTAAACGTCTAAGGTGCCATCTACCGTGACCCACCCTGTATAATGATTAAAATGAAGACCTAATAACAACAACAAGTAGCTCCAACTGTAGCTCCAGACAGCACAGACTAACTTCGGAACCCTCACATCCAATGTTTATATACATACAACACTTCATTAGACTTGCACGTTTCTCATCAGAGTTCCTTGGTCATTGTTCAACGTCAACGGATGATAAGATTAATTTAATGTTTATAAAGCTCTCATGGTTCGTACCTCGGTTCGTACCTAATCACTAATAAACCGAATGTTCTACTTGTGACAATATACTGACTCCTGGTTCGTTCTGTATCTCTTGTATTTTAGTAAAGTGAAATGATTTTACCTTACAGTTAGATTAGATTAGATTTGGAATGGGGCCTTCGGGCTATCTGCCTCCACACTGCGACCTTTTCAGATCTATTGTGTCTGCCCTCAAAATCGATTAGAGTTCTTCGGCTAGCCCCGCCTTCTCTATGAGACTCCATAGGCTAGCTTTCAGATCTCCTGTGTATCTCTGGGCTCCTGGTTTTTCCTCACCCAGCGTAAGGAACCTTAGTCTTGACAAGCCCTCACAGTGGCAAAGTATGTGTACTGCTGTTTCTTCCTCTTCTTGACAGAACCTGCACAGCAGTTCTTCAGTCAGACCTATCGTACTCATGTGTTTGTTGAGCCTACAATACCCTGTGAGAAGTCCTACTAGTATTCTAGTTGAACTTCGTTTCTGGCTTAGTAGATATTCTGTGAATGTTGGCGATGGTTTTTTAATAAACTCTTTAGCCTGTCTCATTCCTGGCGAGTTGTTCCACCATTCTTGAGATTTGGTTTGCATCCATGATTTGATACTAGTCTTTTGTATAGCTTTCGCAATACCACAGAAGGGTTCTGGGCCATTAAGAGCTTTGTTTGCTCCTGCTCGGGCAAGTGAGTCTGCCTCTTCGTACCCTGTATGTGCTGGTACCCATGCTCGAGTCAATCTGTTCTGACTGCCCAGTGCATTTAGGGTTTCTAAGCAGTCCCATACTAGTTTTGAGTTAACTTGCGTAGAGTTGACTGCTTTGATTGCCGCCTGGATATCTGAATAGATTGCAATGGTTTTGCCTTTCAACTCTTGCCTTATCAATTCTATCACGCAATGATGTATTGCAATAATTTCTGCCTGAAACACCGTCGCGTATTTGCCTAAGCTCAGTGAGATTCTTGTCTTTGGCTTGGCCCCATAAATACCTTACAGTTGCAATCCGCATAGGGTTTTATTTTATTAATTTTCAATTACTAGTCAAAGAATTCAGTTGATTTTACGTTACATACTTTTTATTGGTAATAAAGATATATTTATTATGGAAGTGTATTTTTTTCATTCATTTTTCAAATTGATTTTTTTTCCCAATAAAAAAATATATCGGTCTGGTCTATCGGTTTTTGATATCGGCCGATACGATAATCGGCCAATGAGGCCGTTATCACCGATAGGCCGATATAAATATCGGTATCGGTCGATCCCTAGTGTCGAGTACATTTAGGAACTCTAGATACACTTGAAGTTCGGTTGCCTGCATACGACCTTCTTCCTCAGGGCATACAAGTCGGCGAAAGCCGCCCAAGCCTCCGGCTGGTTCGAAGAGCGCCTGCCCGCCCTGCGAGCCTACCCCAAGCAGCTGCTGCGGCTGGTGGTGGTGATCAAGAAGCGGGCCACCAACAGGGTGCACGTGCTGCTGAGCGAGCGCACGTCGTGGCACCTGCCCGCCTGCGAGGTGCACCCGGCCAAGAGCCTGCACTCGACGTTGCGCCGCTTCATGGTCGAGCTGTTCGGGGCTGAGGTGCCTGCGCACAGGCCCCAAGGATTGTTGTCGGTGAGTGAATAAGTGATTCGTCATTTTGAACAACGACAATCAGAGATCAAATAATTATTACAACAATGAATGCACTTAGGAAGTAGAAGATCGTTCCAAATTACGACAGTAAACATTCAGAATGGGCACTACACTGTTTTACCACTAACCAAACCGATTTTTTAACGCCTCGACACGTGTTTCGCTAACTATGTTATTAAAACAGTTTTAATCTTCTCCTGAAGATGCTATATGGTGAAAGAGCTTTGTAATAAATAGTAGTTTGAAAAACTATAATGAAACACGCTTTTATAGATAGCCAAACTCGAGGCCAAACTGAATAGAAGTAGAAAATTGATAGTATAGTTTGAAAAACAAGATAGATTGTCCAAGTAAAAAGAAAAGAAAATAAAAATAGTAGTTTGAAATACTGATGAAACACGATTTCATGGATATCCAAACTAAAAAGAAGTTCAAAACAAAATAATAAAAGTGTGTTGATGAATATTTACCTAAAAAATTTGTATAGAAGAAAGTGTGCCAGGTATCAGCATCAGCTATTGTAATAAATAGTAGTTTGAAAAACTAATGAAACACGTTTTTATAGATAGCCAAACTAAAAAGAAGTGAGTAGTAAATAAATGAAAGAATGATGAGATATAGAGTGCCGAACTAAAAAGAAGTAGAGAATAAGTAGAATTGTTTGAAAAACTAAAGAATCCCGTTTTCATGGATAGTCGAACTAAAAAGAAGTATAAATAAAATAATGGAAGTTCTTTGATAAATATTTATGTAAAAACATTTTTCTAGAAATAATGTTATGGCATAACGACGTTTGCCGGGTAGCTAGTGACTGTCAGTGTCACTGAAACAGGCCCATTGAATAATATAATTATTATTGTATCTCTATAAGATTATTTCTATATAGTATTGCATGACTCATAAGTGGAGATATTATTGCTTCCATTTTCTAGGTGGAACATGATCCCTCTACCGGGAAAGACGGACTTTGCTTGACCCTTCTCGTCGCTTTCAGATCGCCTCTAGAAGAAGTCCCAATTATTGGAAAGTGTGTTTGGCATGAAACTTCTAAAGATCTGGGCGACAAGATACTTCAAAGGGTGGCATCCAAAAATGCCTGTTTTCCATTGCATGTTATCAAATAAAATTATTGTTGATAATGTTGTTGCAAACAATAATTTGCTTTTTTGTACAAAACATTTTAAATAATATACTCGAATAGTTCACAAGTATTGTGAGAGTTTGGTTGATCAGGGATTCAATAACCTTGTACCATTTTTGTACAATTAAGCGAATCAGATGTTTGATATTGTTTTATCATAATTGAAATTAACATATTACGCTTCATATTCCCTCTTGATGGTTCAAGGTCAGTTCTTTACAAATACACTTTTTCTGATAAGTACCTTTACCTGATATTAAGTACCTATTAAAATATACTTTGGCCGGCAAAAATGTGAATTAAATGGAAAACTCAGTTCATCATTCTAGAGTTGAGTTTTTGCATATTATAGTGAAAGCAAATTGCTTTAATTATCCAGCATCATTCTTGCCAGTCACTGTATATCAGAATAACGATTTATTTCTATATTTGAAAATTTATACCATATCAACCATGGTTGGATTTCAATTATATTATTTATTATTATGTATTAATGAACTACTAACTGAAGTCAATTTGGTTGAGGTTTCCATTCCATCTAAATATATCAATACTGATTTATATTTTTCTATTGAAATTGTTGAAAGTATTTATTTGAAATATATTATTTTATTTATCTTTTCGTTTTTTTTTTCTCAATTTCACTAAAAAACTATTCTGTATAAAAGGAAAACCAATTATTATAATCTTCATTAGAATTATTGGATCTGTACTGGCATTACAATAATTGAAATTCTGATCAGTGGCGGCTCGTGACTTTCATGACAGAGGAGGCTGAATGATATGAGATTTATTGTGAAAAACAACTCTCTACTCACCCAAATCAATAGCTTTAATGACATTCTGTTTACCAGTTAACCTGAACTTGATACTTGGAGAGATGTGTTCCTGTGATTTGAGGTGTGTCTATCCAATCCGCGAGGAAAATTTTTCAAATCATTATATCCTAATCGCCCCCAACATGATGACTTATCGGTTGAAAATAATACGCAGTACCAACAAAATAGCTTATTCCTTACCTCAGATCCCGTCAACCAGATATATTTTTTATAATTATCAGAATTGAACGAACGATTTTGTTTGTTACCTGTTACAATCAGATTTTTTAATTCCGGTGTCGGACGTTTGTTTTTCACAATCAATTTATCTTCATAAGACAAAGCACTGAATGGGTTCACCAAAGAGTATTCCACTAAATCGCAATCGTTTAAAACACTGATTCTTCAGAAATTTATAGAGCCCCTAACCATTAACCTAACATAAACAATGCACTATGCACTAGCGCTGGATTGTCCGCAATTCGCGACACGACAAACACGTGCTATTCGGGCATTTGCATTGCGCGCGTGGGTTGCGCCGTGTGAAGGAGTCTAGCCTCCTATAGATGTTGCCAAGTTGAATATTTTACGCGTGATTTGCAGACTTCAAAGTGTGATGCGTGGGCAAGCACTGTTGTTGTCAAAAATATTTACCTAAAAACAGGAAATAAAATCAAAATCCATGTATTTTGGTGTCCTTTCATTTTTTTTATTTGTTCTAAAATTTGTTCTATCCGTCATTCGGTTGCCCCCTTACGAGCAACCCTCAAAAGTCTTCGAAAGTCTTGTGCGAGCAAGGAATGACGGGGGCCTTACCTTTTAACGTGTGATCCCAAACACTTTCTTGGGCCATCAGAAAAATTTCTGCAGTCGACGGGGATCGAACCCACGACCGGCAAGCGAATGCGAATTAGAATATAGACACTCTGTCCGCACGGCTACCTGGCCACTGGAACATTCAAGGAATATTCAAATGTGAATATTCTAGTGATATTCCAAAATGAATATACAGGGAATATTCCAGAATGAATATTCTGAAGTGAATATTCCTAGAATATTCCAGTTGGATAGTGCAGGGAATATTCAGGTATGAATATTCCAGGAATATTCCCAATTGAATATTCTGTTCCTGTATATTCATGGAATATTTCAATAATATTCCCATGTGTTTCAATGAAATTGTAGTATGTATGTATGTAATGAGTATTAAACATTGATTTTGAAATCTGTGGTGAAAGTCCATCGTACCTATTTCAAAGTGAAGTGGTTATGTTACCAGGGATCAAAAACAAAAAGTCGTCTCCACAATTTTGATAGTGATCAAAGTACTCAATCAGATCATCGTACATGTTAAGAGCCCATATGGAACTGGAAGTGTTCATGGTTCCCTTCTGAACAACGCAATTCAATAAATTGTAATGTACATTATTATCCAACTCGATTACTGGCCGAGTGGTTAAGGCGTTGATCTGACAGTCTGAAAGTCCCGAGTTCGAGCCCATCTTGGGTCAGCTTTTTTTTTTTTTTCTAATTATGAATATGTATTACGGAATATTCCCGGAATATTCATTTATTTATATTCCTGTATTATTCCAAGAATATTCCGAATATTATCTGAATATTCCTAGAATATTATAGGTACATTCTGAATATATAGGGAATATTATAGGTACATTCTGAATATATAGGGAATATTCCTTGTGTAATATTCCGGGAATATAAAAAATTTTCCCCACCAGCACATTCAGGGAATATTCCATAGTTGATATGTATATCCCTGGCATGTTCATGAATATTCGCAATATCCAAAAAGAATATTCTATGAATATTCATGGAATATCTGGTGCTTTCTGGGTCCGTTGCCTCCTCTGAGGAGCCGCCACTGATTCTGATGAATTTCTTTGTAAATATATCTCAAAACTAAATACTGTCATTGAATTCAATCGATTGTCAGTGACACATGTTTTGATTTTTAGGAATTTTGTGAAAATCATCTTTTTACATTAACAATGGTTTTACATCATTAAAAGAGGGTCATTTAAAAATAAAATGTTGACGAAACTAAAATATGAAATAGTTTATATTAACAGTCATGTTGATTATTGTACAAAAATATGGTAATAAAAATAAATAATTACAGTCATTTATCCATCAGTAGTTGAAATAATACCTGAACAAACATATTTTCCTTCTCTCAATAACAAGCCTACTATTTTTCAGCATAACTTCAACAGCATCAACTTGAAACTAAAATATAAATCTATTTACAAAAGAACATGAACATTCTCAAACAGTGATGGAGGAAGGGCTTCTTTCAATGCCAATAAATTTTTCAGCTAGATACAAATTACTATACAGGGCGATTGACCATAAACTCACATGGTCATGTTGGATTAAATTTAGAAATAAATAAAATAAAAAACCAGGTGATTCAGAAAAGCAATAGTTTCCAGAGTATTGAGGGCATGAGATTCAAACTTGTCAGGTTATTGTTAAAACAATTGGAACAATTTTGGTTTGGTTGGTTTTAGTGACAACAACCCTAACTTTGTAATCTCAAATGCCTTTTTTTGTATCTAGAGTGCAATCCAACGAATCCAATAAACGTGACTTATGAGTGAAAAGTATTAGAAACCATTTTTTCTGCATGAAAAATACAGATAACAAAATATGAAAATTATTGGTTGAAAAACCATTATATAAATGATATGAAAACTGCTCATCAATTGAGTTCTTTTCTATCTTGAACGGAAGAGAGGAAAGTTCTCTTCCATCTTTCTCTTCAATGATACCAACGTAGCTGCAGTGAAATATAGAGAGGTCCGATAAATCTGTCCTTGTCTAACATCTAGTTTGTGCCACTGAACTATCTTTGAATTCAGCAGAGTCAAATTTAACGATATCAACAAATGATATCAAAATAAGTATGATATAATTCGAAATTTCATTTAAAAAATTCGAAAGGTTATCAGTCAATGACATTTATGACATAGACACATCATTATAACATCGAAAATAGTTCAGTTGCGCAGAGTAGACGTGAGACAAGGAAAGATTTATCGGATCTCTCTATATTTCAATGTGGCCATGCACGTTGGTAGCACTGAAGAGAAAGATGGAAGAGGAGAGAACTTTCATCTCTCTCTCGTTCTAGGTAGTAAAGAGCTCAATTATCAATAGACGTCATTTAATTGGCTAAACTATGTGCTTCATACTCAGATTCTAAAAATGTATTATTATATACAGGATCTTCCACCTGAAATTCCACTGTTGGCTTTGTTTCTGGTGAAACTGGAAGTGGTGGGAATGTTGAGGAAAAATAACCCTACCAAGTTTGACTCTTACTCTGGAAACTTTCAAAATCAAAGCTGAAATATTGATCAGTGTGTCCAACCAATTCACCCTGTATGTGCATAATATATTGGAATCAGGAAGAAAATAATCTGCAAAATGAGATTTTTTAAGTCAAAAACAGAATGAAATTATTATGGACAATAAAAAATTAAATAATATCACCCAGTGTGTCAATTTGAAAACTAATAGTGAAAAAGAAACCAAGAAGTGACATTCCTACTAACTAGAGTCCATGAGCAATTTGAGTTGCATTTTGTAATTCTCCGCCTCCTGCTCTTTCTTTTTCAGCTTTATCTTGTACTCTTCTATGGTCTTTCGAGCTTCCAGAAGTTGTCTTATGATCTGATCTACATCAGATCGGCTGAATTTATCAGTACTATTCATCACAATCTGTGACTTTATCTGTGGCTGCATATGAACCTTAGAAAGGTGAAAGAGTTCCATTAATCATATAGGGTGATTTATGCAGGCAGCACATTGAGAGTTTACCAACTTGCAGTTGGATTGAAAACTTGGAAATTGGTATACTGTTATAATCGACCATTTCAAGTGGAATAATAGATTGGTAAGATCATAACAAAAAAATTAACCGATTTCATTGGGGAAGTTTCCTTCCGATGAATTTTCATAAAATAAGTTTGGTACTATCCAGTTTTATGTCCACGCTGTACAAAATGGCGACCGATAAAGTCCAAGTCGTTTTCATTTTCAAATTAATTTCTAATTTTCGGGACGGCAAAAACTGACGTACATTCTGAATCTAGTCTGAAAATAGCTGATGGTGAAGAATATAGCTAGCGAATAGCTAACAAATGAAAAACGAATGAAAAAAATAGAAGAAGTAAAACTGGTAAACAAAAACATACATAACCACAAATGCACTCGGAGCAGGAATGCAGAGGGTAGTTGGCTTCATTCTGACGGGTTATGGTTTTGATATTTAAGCATTGAAATATCTCGAGTAGAGCTCGATCCTAAACGAAAATATCATTGAATCAATGAATCACTATCGGCTTCATTCAATGATACTATCCTTCCCAATTTAGTGTCATCGGTCAGAACAGAATGAAGCCGACACCCATGTCTCCCTCCTCTTGTTGTGCCTGGCAGTATTTTGAGTGGTGTGGACAGACTCGAAGTATTAGGCGCTGTTGCAAGATATAATTTGCAACTTTCTTAGAAAATAGATCCGTTTCATTAAGGAACGAATTCATTAGCAAAAAATGACTGACAAGTTATGAATAACATATTGTAATATAACGATAGTGAAAAATTATGGATACTATCGCAAGATATCATAATTTATCTTTATTAGTAAACAACTTCATTCAGCCAATGAGAGATATATGGGGATTATTCATAATTCTTGACAAACTAGGATTGAAGAACCTATTATATCCCATTGCTGTTATGATATAGTTATCATGCATTCAAAGAACAATTTCGTTTTCACATCAAAGATTACATGGGACTGCTTTGAAACACTCATGCAACTGGGAAAGGGCAACAGAGTCACACTTATGTGGGTTCCAGGGCATGAAGGAATCAAAGGAAATGAGGCAGCTGATCGCCTTGCAAAAAAAAGGTGCAGCATCTGCACTTTTTGGTCCTGAGCCTTTTCGTGGGATAAGCAAATGTCACCTAAAGGGAGAACTCGGGAAATGGGAAGAAATTGAAAAGTCCTCCTACTGGAGAGCAACTCCAGGTCAACGACAAGGGAGAAGGTTCATCAACCATTCGCAGAACCGAGCCAAAGAGCTACCACCTCAAAAAGATGGGCCTGGCGGAGACTGACATTTGCCGCTTTTGTAACAATGCGACCGAAACCGCGGAACACATACTTTGCTCATGTGAAGTATTAGTCCGCCAAAGGCTGAACCACCTAGAACAGGTCTATCTCACCCCTGCTGAAGTGGAAATTCAACCGTCAGGAAAATCGTAGGCTTCATCAGAAGTCTAGGGTTAGAGGACCAAAACTAGATAGGGGTAATCACAATAGATCTTCTAGGTTGCAGTGATCGAGAGGTCTCCCAGCCTATACGACCCATTTACAATCTACAAGAACAATTTCCGGAAGTCTAGACATATCGATGATGTCGGCAACGTCGTACTGGCACAGGGAATCGTATTTTAACTCTGTGTGAATGTGGATGGTCAGAAAGTACGTCATAGGAATGGTGGAGGAGCCAAGTTCCTCTTTTATTCATTATTTTCTGAATTGAAATTTGATCTAACTGAGACTTTGGGGCGTAGTCATAAAAAGCGGGATTTTGAATTTTTCTTGAGATTTTGAAAATATGAATTGGGGGGTTTTTGGGGATGAAGTTATTTAAAATAAGCCAATATCCTTTTTCCGAATGATGGCCTTATTTGTACCTTGTACCCCTCAACATTGCACGCCAATGGTGAATGAAACTGTGGTAAATACTTTATTGTTCTAACATACAATCACCACTAAAATTTCAAGAGAATAGCATTACTAATAACTGAGATATCAGGGTGTATTCATGAAAACCAGAAAAAACTAATCTTATGGAAAGTGACATTTTGTAACCTGTCAAGAGAAATGTCAAACTCATTTCCCGTCACATCAGTTCGTGTCATTGACTGCAAATGGAAAATCGAACTTACCGGCGCCACTGTTGGTATAGGAATAGTTTTGTTCTTCTTCATAACCACCCTCTTCAGCTGGCCCTTTGCTGGTATCTTCCATTGCCTGAGGTCGTTCCTGCTTTGCGTGATGGCCAAAAATTGTTCGGGCGTCAAAGTCACTATTTTCTTTTCCATTCTAATGGTCGACGGTTGTTCCAGAGGCTGAGATTGCTGATGCACGAACGTTTGCTCTGATTGTTTGACGGAATTCAGAACTTCTTTACCTACATCTGAGAAAAAATTGAGGGTCGTAAAATAGTACATTATACATCATGGAACAGAAATGCAAGATTTTGTCCAAGGTGCGATTTGTAGCTTGAGGGCGAAGCCCGAGAGATACAAAGCATCGGGGGGAAAAATTCTGTCCTGAGGTGTATGTACTATTTTTTACGCTGGCGAAAACTCAAAAATTAAGAATAAGAATTTGGCCAGTGTTTTTTCAAAATTAGTAGTAGTATAGTTTGTGGAATTCGTATCTTGACAACCCATGGTGACAGCAAATATCAAACTGGAATTTATGAAAACAGCTTTGAAAATAGTTAACGGTTATGGACTTATGGAACAAGAGATCGAGGGAAAACGACAAGAAACTATTGATACTGCTTCTGCAGTGATTCTTAGCTTACTACCAGTGATCTGTGGGTGCCTGGACACCAGGGGGTGGAGGGTAACGAGAAAGCCGAAATCCTCGCCAAACAGGGAACCGAATCTGTGTTCATAGGACCAGAACCATATTTTGGGGTCACCGCAAGTGCGGCAAAAACAACTATCTCGGGCTGGGCGGAGGGAAAAACACTCACGTACTGGTCTGAATTACCAGGATTAACCCATTCGAAGGCGTTCCTGCCTAAACCACCGGAAAAAATCACCAGGCAGATCCTAGAATGGAGCAGGGGTAACCTGCGAATTCTGACTGGACTGCTTACGGGACACTGTCGTCTAAGATACCACCTGGGAAGGATGGGTCTGAACCAACAAACAGACTGTCGGTTCTGTTGTGTGGAAGACGAAATGGCGGAACACATATTATGTTCATGCTCTAGCTTAGAACGACTAAGGTTTTGGCTTTACCAATTTAGAACCTATCGATTTCAGACAAATCTCACCCAATTCATGAACTTTGTAAAAACATGTGGATTATACGGTGAACTGTAACCTCTAGGGGTGAGCCACAATAGACCCATCTGGGGTCGCAGTGGAGGGGAGGTATTCGCCCCACTCACATGGAACCTAACCTAACCTAGTATTGTTGGATTTGTAATCATAATCACTAACCCATTATTTATGGAATAAATAATTATATATAGGGTGTTCCAGTTTACAATCGATCTACAACAACACTTTCCACTGATGAAATATTAATTATCATCAACTCCTGATCAATTGAACTGCAACAAGCACAATTTTACACTAAATTCAACATTGAATTAATATTCTAACAAAAACTGACGCATATATTCGGATGCGGCATTCTTAATTTTGAAGATAAATCCATTGGATATTGATTGAAACATATAAATATGAGATAAAAAATATAGCTATAGGATTATAATTACAAAACTCGTCCGCCATATTGGTTCCGCCATCTTGATTTTCCAAATCCCGCCCGAATTTTCAAATTCTGACGAAAGACTGAACAAATAAAATAAGGTCGCCCCATATTTTGAAAGTTTTATATTTCCACTCACACCAAACATTGAATACAGGGTGACATTCTGAAAACTTAATATAAGAAATAAAAAGAACAGGTCGATTTTATTTTTAAGGGGGACATTATTTGAAATGATTAGTTTTATCCCTAGATGTTATCCCACTGAACTATAACAGGGTTATATTTCAGTGTGTTATCCTCAGAACCTCATATGAAGGGGGTCAAGATTCACATCATTTTGAAGGGTGCTCAAATCTCTTTTCAACAATACCCTATTTTCTCATTTTTTGCTGAGCAGTTTCCGTAAAATCTCATTCTAAACTTACAGAAGTAATTAGAACATGCCTGCACTAAGATGTATGGTTTTCAGGTTAGAATTATAATGTATTGACTCTCCTTTCAGTCCAAATGGTAGAAAGATTTTGAACGCATCTCGGTGCAGGCATGTTCCGATTACTTCTGTGAGTTTAGAATGGCATGACCCCCTTCTCATATAAGGTTTGTATTCACCCAATGTCAGTGTCATTTCATTCAAATTACTTGGAAAATTGCATAGCAATAAACTTTTCCTGCCTAGACAGAGAAAGTACACCATTCCTGCCTGGAGAAAAACCGTTAAACACATTCACATGAATTCAAGCCAAAAGGCATTGAAAAAATATAAGAGGAAGTTGAACTTTGGGACATTGTCATTCTGATATTTTTGGGTTGTTATAAACAGAAGAAAAATTAATGAATCAAATCTGAATTATGCCATACCTGTAAGTACAACAGAATGTCCACTTTCCATAACACTATTTAGAATATTATTATTATCACATTCTTTGTTCTGCAACATGATACCATGTTCATGGAGCAATTTCAAAGAATCTGTCAAGTTAGAATGGTCAACGGTTACATTTTGTATCAGACTTTCATTTGCTTTCTGGATTGTTTCTTGACTCTCATCATCTTCTATGTCACCTTAAAAATTATATATACATATAGGTACCTTTTATCTATCATTTTACTAAAGGACAAAATGCAATTTTTTAAAAGTCTAAATTTAATGGAACTTACAGTGTGTATTTTCATTGTTGATAGATTCTATTGTATCATCATCATCAATAACAATAGGTCCTTCTGTAAAGAATCAGATATTTATTACAAAAAAAAATAGAAATTGGTTTAGTTTAGCCATTTATTTGTTATTTACATATCAAAAGTTTGAAACAAAGTTTTCACAATAAAAAATTGAAATCACTGATTTCTTTAAATATTGTGAATCACTTTTGAATAGACAATGCAATTTGACAAGATTTTACATTTATTCTTCAGGTGTAACACTCAAGATACATTTTTCTTGAAGTGTGGTCATATTAGATTTTGGCTTCACATTAAATCTAACAATATCATTGTATTCTTTGAGTTTTATATGGTTTTATTTATTATGTGAGATACAATTTTGCTAAGAATTTTATTATAATTCTCTTAATATTCATATCCTCCCTTTAAATAGTATATTTTATAATTTTGGAAATACTGATGAGAACATAATTATGTAGAAAATATTTCCTAACTGAATTTGTTTCCTGGAGTTACACCTGATATGAATATTATCAAAATATATTTTTCATCAATATATCACAATGAATAACTGAGAAAAAAACAATCAACATGTGGCTGAGGCAAAAACCTGAGAAAGAAAAATACAGTATGCTACTCAAATTACTCATGGATTCTATTTACTAGAAGCTAGACTTCACCAAAAATTTATAAATTTCTGAAAATTTGAAATATACCATTTTTGTACATGGTTGGATCCCACAAATCTGCATTTCCCTGAATACAAATAAATTCATGTTCAAAAGAAGATTAATTGTTGATACTTTTCTCCATATTTTGAAGTACCTATCTAAGTATGTGAGTACCTGTATCAATAATAATGTAAAGCTAGAAAAAGCAATATGATCAAATTGAGGATCACATCAAAAATATGAAAATGAGCTAAAAAGCAGCTATACTCACCCATTTTATAAGACCTAATAACAGAAGAATCAATAGGATCATCTAATTCCATATCATCATTTAAGACTTGCATACCACCAGAATTATTCATATCATCTTCAGCAGCTAATTGTATGACCAAATTTTGAGTAGCAGCTTCTGTATTTTCAATATTACTATCTGTTATGAAAGTTTCAATGTCAGTCCTATGAATTTGTTGGGCTATATCAGCTGGCAACAAATCAAATTTGTTGACTTTGTTGATGGAAGCTCCATGTCTTATGAGGTGTGCTACAATTTCTAAGTGACCATTTTGAACAGCCCAATGGAGAGGTGTCATACCCAACTACAATAGGCATAATACAATTTTTCACAATAAGATTATCATTCTGTTCTGCACTAACCAGGTCTTTGCTATCTATGTCAGCTCCATGTTTTAGTAGTGTTTCAACTATGTCCAAGTGTCCCTCATATGCTGCCATATGCAAAGGTGTCCTATCAACTTTGGTACGAGCATCTTTAGATATTCCAGCTCTCAGTAGTATTTCTGTGATTTCTAGGTGGTTATTCTGAGCAGCTAAATGCAGTGGACTAGTACCTAACTATGTATCAACACATAGAATAATGGTAAGTAAAATCTATTTAAAGCATATGATTACCTACCCAGTCAGCTGTGAAGGGGGCCCCTTTGACCAATAAATGTTTGATATTGTCTACATCTCCCTCTGCTGATGCTTTCAATAGTTGTTTTCCTAACTCATTGACAGGAACACTTTCCCTGACCAATCGACCTTCCCAGTCAATCTGAAATTAATAACAATAACAGTATGGCTGAGAGGCACACAATGAAGTGTGTTCTTTACTGGTATCAGGTCGCCTCTTCCATTCAGTGATAAGGGGGCATTATCATTAGTGGATACACTAGAAATTATGTATTTTGTGCGTTGATGCCTTTGAACGGGTTGGCCATCCTCCAGGACACCGCCAAATTTTATCATGTCCTAAAAATATCATAGTAAATAATAAAAATATCTATTTTTCGGAGTATGAAATAGTGAGGTTAGGTAGCTCGTTGAAATATTTTTGTTTTTGAATTTTCGGGCACTGGAAACAGGAAAATGCTGCTCCATCTTGGAATCACGACCAACGGGTTTCCTGTTCCTGTGGCTAACGGAAGTGAGTAGCCATTTATATCGATTTTCGCTAATAAACACTGAGTTACTTACTTTTATTCACAGTTTATCCTATAAAATCCTTTTTGCAATAAGTTTATTCACATAAATACAATGAAAACTCCTTCCAAGACGAAAGTAAACAACATGACAACGCCGTTTCTTCGTGCCGCCATCTGTCGGCGTGTTATGAAATTAAATTTGGTACGAATGCTGGCGGGACATTTGAAATGAGGTTAAAACTGAATGTGGCATTTTCATTTCGAAAATGCTCCAATATTGGACCCAGAAGCGATATCTTATTGTCCGATAGCGGAAAATAGTTCGACAAATTAAGTAATATAAATCAGATAAAGGGATCCGAACTTTTTCCTGAGCCTGCATGATAAGTGTCAATGGCTTTTCTAAGTCTGATAAAAACCGCTCATGCATCGAAGTTGTAATGGAAAACAATGTGTACTAATTAATGCTATTGCTATAAATCAATCACAATTGGTCATATCGTAATATATCTTACGTAATATGAACACTTTTGCAGATTCACATTAATTATATTATGTTTGAAAATTGTTTTAAATCTCTATCCTACGTTTTATGCAACCATGATTACACAAATGACACACCTGTTGATGTCAGCATTCTATTTACTTGATTCTACCTCTACCAAAGATTTTGCCTCTACCTGCACTTTTGTAATCTGTTGCAGTGTCAGTATATTAGCCTGAGTCAGACACTATTCTTTGGTAGGAGTATACTATACTGTTCAAGGCAAGTAGTTCATTCGATGTTTTTGATTTCAAATTTCGAATTTCCGACAATCCAGGCTTGTTTCGAAATTTTCTGATGATTTAAGGTAATTAATTTAGAAAGTGTTCAGCTAATGGGGTCGTTATAAATAATCCTAAGTAAATAATGACCGATGCCATTGTCAAGGATTCCTTATTTGGGAAAGACCAGCGGTCATCGTAGTGTAGAGTTGAAGAATCAGTCATTTGGATTCTGGATTTCCCCGTTTATTGCAGTTCATTATTTTCACAAAGAATTGGATTGTTATATCCTATAAGAATATTTGAGGTAAGTAACAACATATAATATAATGAAATATATCGCTACATCAAATATACCTATCAATAATTTTAATTAGGTATATCAATATGCCTCAATAATTTTGTAGAGTTGTGAATATCCTTTTTTGGTGCAAAATTTTGTAAATAGGTTATTGACGGTCGTGCTTCGTGATTATATACCTAAAGGTACAAATAAATAGTGAGAATGTTAATCGAAAATTCTATTAATTTTCTACACCTACCTACCTGAGATTTATTATGATTCAGTGTGTAGACGACACAAGAATTATAAATAAGTTATATACATACCCACACAAAAAAATGATTAGAGACTTTATAATCGTGAAAATTTGATGGACAATTATTATGATTTCGTAAAAATAAAAAAAACGTACTTTTCATTTTTTAACTTCGTTTTCGAGATACAGAAGATTGTTGATGTTATATAAATATTAATTGTCTTTTTCATCAGTATCACCCTGTATAAACTTTCATATTATAATGGCAAAATTCACTATGATCAGTCGTGTGACTGAGAATAATGACAAAATATTATACCTACTCGATATTATATTCATTATGGCTAAATAGAGTTTCCAATGGACGTCTCGTACCTATACATAATATATCAGAATATTATATTATTGGATTCAAATCAGGTCGTGAATAATATGTATACATATCATTTTTATGTTTGGGACATATTTCGATTCGCCCAATTTTCGTTTCACCCAATGTTCGATTCGCCCAACTTTCGGTATTTACCCAATTTTTGATTCACCCAACTTTCGATCCACCCAATTTTCGATTTGCCCAATTTTCGATTCGCCCAATTTTCGATTCGCCCCAAATTCGAGTCACCCAAATTTTGATTGACCCAAATGTCGATCGACCCGAATTTCGACCGACCCGAATTTCGACGTAATATATTAAGGGAGAAAATAGTAGATTATTTTATTAGGATCAAAAGTGACAAAGCGAAGCCGAGCGAAAGCAAAATTTGCGAGTCGAACAAAGTCACTTTTGATCCGAATGAAACATTCTATTTTTTCTGCAACCGAAACAATTAACTCAAATAAACATGTGAAGTAACCACCAATGCCGTGCCATGTGTATGCAATGCAACAAATATTGACAAATAATCCATGTGATGAGAATAATATTCTACCTGCATTAACAGCAGGTTAGGTTTTCTAGGATGTTCGAATTGTAGTTTCAATATCAATACAACCACAGAGTGACATATTTGTGTATGGACCAGGTCCTCTAATGGCAAAAATACCGCGCCAGTGCCAGCTATAGGAACAAGACGTGGAAAATGTTAGGTGTTGGGTTAGTGAGCATATCAGCAATGATAATAGTGAATATTTATTCCTCTCCATACTACACTGTGTTTGACTTGATAATCAAATGAAGCTAAACAATAATATCGTTGTTTGAGACAAAAAAACTATTGCTTGCCGTGATTATTCAAAAACAAGTTATCCATCCCGAGAATAACGAATGAAATACAGATCAGGCAAGTATTTGAATCTTGAAGGCTTCCCTGATCAAAACAAAAATACTCAACTGAATTGTTTATAATTCCAATACTTATAACTATAATAAGGTGTATTTATATCTCCAGGATGGGTATGAAATGCCAAATCTTCTGAAATCGGAAACAAATCAGGTATGCGTCTCAACCCAAATAACCAACCGTCACAATCTTATTGTTTATCCTTGAAGACGTCCAGTATATCCTTTTTAGTTCCTAGGAGCTAAAGTTCAACTTTAGCTCCTAGGAACTAAAATTCAACTTTAGCTCCTAGGAACTAAATATGTTGCCTAGCAACATACCTATTTTTGTGTCAGTAATAGAAACGTCAATTTAAGAGCTAATTTTGGTGTCAAAATGGACTACTTTTGTGTAGGTTGCAGAAATATATTCTTTTCTGCATAAGGAGGGAGACTACCTTTTCCAAACTACCTAAAACCTAACAACCTACCTAACCCACCTAACTTACCTAACCTATACCTAACCTACCTAACTCGGCCGAATCAAAAAGTGGACGAATCAATCGAAAATTGGGTGAAATGAAATGTTGGCCCAACGACATATTAATTTGAATGTAAAATGATTCTTGATAATTCCCGTTTTTAATTGAATCCGAGAAAATGTGGCATTATTTGACAACAACGCATCTTTCGAGTATGTTCGGAGACGGTGGGTGAATCGAAAATTGGGTGAATAAAAAATTGGGTGAATCGAAAATTGGGCGAATCGAAAATTGGGCCAAACGAGACGTTCCCTCTTATTCAAAATATGCCTGATATACCAGATCAAATGACACTTCATACTTCATCGCTTCATTCATTTCGAAGGCATTCGAAGGTATCTAAACTCGGAAAAAATGGAAAATAAAATGAATCAAAATAACGGATAACATTGAAATATTTCAAGGACCCTGTTGGAAATTGGATCAAATCTATGTATACAGGGTGAGTCATAACTATTGGGACATAGGCTAAGGGCGGATTGTTTGGACCAAAATATGGCGATTGGACCAAACATGCCTTAATAAAATATTACTGTGAAAAGAGATTCAGGGCGTTAAAGTTGATTTTTTTCGTTTATTGTCGTTTTTTTGCTAATAATTTCACTGTATATGAAATATATTTGAAAAAGTTTTGTGATTTGGTTGCTTTCTGTCTAGATATTATAGAGATATTACAATTCATACCTTCTGGTTGCATCCCGCATTTATTCATTCATAAAATGATTGTGACGAGGCATTTCAATCGAAAAAATTTTGACAATAAACTCGCACCAAAATTCATTCTCTGACAAGAAATGCCATTACCAGCAACATTATCTGACAGTTCAAAGCACACTCTTCATGAATGAAATAATATTTGTAATTAACTTCTGAGACTCTGAACTGTTCAATAGCGTTTTTCTCGAAAACGGAAGAAAATATCGTGTTCAAACAAGAGTACCCCAATATTACGTAGAAATAATGTTTAGGTCATATTTTTAATCAGAATCACTCAAAAGTTTTGTCGAAAAATGTAACCATCAGGCGATTTCATCATCAGGAATCATTCACCCAGCCAACCATGAGATGTATAAGTGATGTATACGCCACATCACTTTGTGACATGCGATATCGCATTTGAAGTCACAAACATGTTACCGATACAACGTGGCGATGTGAAAATGTCCGACTCAAACAACATCACTGTGATGTCGTTCAGACATAAAATGCGACATCACATGAAAAATCACTACCAGGTCACATACAAGTGTACATTTCATATTACAAATATATCACACTGCTACATCGATGATGTGGTCGCCGTACCTGTGATATTCGTGGGATATATAATAATAATAATTATTCAACTTCACGAAGAAAATGTTTATTTTCCGAAAGTAAAAACAGATGATACAAAAATTATCATGACAATCACCCTAATTATAAGTAATCTTGAAGTAAAACATGACACATATATATATAGCAATACAAATATACATTATTCATAAATGATACATACCTAATACACTTATATTATCTTGGGATCTTTCATCCACCTTGTTTTAGATTGCAATATTCCTATCTCAGAGATAATTACAATATTACCTATTGTGATTGAACTCACCGTCGTTCCTAAATGATTGTATACCTCCAATTTGAAGCTGCTATAATATGTGCTATAAATCATCTCAGATATTTCAACAGAGAATTTGGAAGGAAATAGTCTGTACGGAGTCGGACTCACTCACAGACTGACTGACTGACTGACATGGCCATGCACAGCTCAACATGGCGTCTGGCGTGTGCGCTCGTTTTGCGCATGTCTGCGTCACACTCACAGGTCACAAAGATATCTCATGAGGATATCAATGTGAATTATTTAGTTGACGTCGAAGAGATGTAGTTTGAAGAAGTCGCTGCCACATTACATAGTTTCCTGGTTGCGATGTCACCTTGCGACGTTGATATCGAATCTACGTCGATAAGATGTGTTAACGAGATATTGCATTTATGCACGATTGTTACATCACACAGATGTTGATGTCACACGATGGTTGGCTGGGCACGTGGCGCCCCCTGTATCAAAATGTAGAATAGTACGTAAAATAATATTCCCTGTATGGAATTATGCCTCTGTGCCAATTTTGATGACAATTGATGGATATACAGTGAAATTATTGGCAAAAAACGAAAATGAAATGTCAACTTCAACGCCCTGTATCTTTTTCCACAGCAATATTCTATGAAGGCATATTTAGGCCTATCGCCATATTTTGGTCCAAACAATCTGCCCTTAGCCTATGTTCCAATAGTTTTGACTCACCCTGTATACAGTCTGTCCAAGATAAGGTTGAACAGCATGGGGATCTCGGAAACGGTAAAAAAGTTGCGCATTCGGAGGCTCATATCAAGAGCCTTCGAAAATTTTGAAAATTATTTTTAGTTTTTGAGTTATATCGAAAAAAGTGAATTTTTGGAATTTCTATTTTATTTTTTTCCTCCGTTATTATCAGAGATACAGAAAAACTGAAAATACTTTTTCATAGCAACTTTTGATGAGGTTTAACGTGGTGATACCGATTTTTTTATGCGACGTTTCGTATTCGTGGAACCATCATCAACTTTTGTTTTTTAAATACGGTCCTGATAATTTTTTCACAGATTCTGAAAGGTTTTTTATTCTGAATTCAACAATGTACTATACAAGGTGATACGAATGTGTTTCGACCTATTTCTATCCATCATCAATGTTTTTTCGAACTTCCAAAAGAAAAAAGCCATCAGTTCCACTTATTTCTTATCATTTAGTGTCAAACTTGATGGATTAGTTATTCAATACTGAAAAGTGAATAAAAAATATTTCACTACATCATTCGATCAATGCAGCGTTTAAAATTGTTGATGAATTCTTACACGAATTACTTTAACAACTTAACTTTGACAATACCTACAGAGACATTCATAACAAATGTTCAAAATGATAACCATTATTTTCTGAACAAAGATATCCTCTTCTCACAGTTGTTTCTAAGACATTGCTAAGCATTTCTGGGGTTATTCTATTGAATGCTTCGAAGACACTGTCCCTTAGTTCTTCTTCATCCTCAAAGTTATTTGCGTGTACAAAGTTCGATATATCCCCTAAGAAAAAATCCAGCTGTGTCAAATCAGGCGACCGCGCCGGCCAAGGGATAAAAACGCACGGACTCCTCTGGAATTATGTACCGGAGCGCCATCTTGTTGAAACCAACAGAGTTCTGAACTTCCGCAATCGGTAAATCATCCAGAGCTTCCTCAAGATGATTCTCAAGCGGATTTCTATAACGTTCGGAAGTCTGTGTTTCATGGTAAATAGAAGGAACAATAATTCGTGTACCAAATATTGCAACCCACATATTAAAGCCGAAACGGTGTTGGTGTCTCGCTGTAATGTATAAATGTTCATTTTCTCGTGAACAATAATGTGTATTTTTTCTATCGAAGCTACCATGATTAGTGACCATGCTTTCATCAGTCCAGATGATTGTTCGAAAGAAATCTGCAAAATTTTAACATTTCCTGGTATACCACTCACAGAATGTCTTGCGCCTTTCGTCATCGCCTGGTTTTAGCGCTTGACATATTCTGAATTTGTATGGATGGAATTTTTGTTTCCGCAGAATGAAATGGGTTGTTGATTGAAACCAGTTGATGAGGTATTAGTGTGTTGACTAATTTTCCTTCAAAATAAGTGGAACTGATGGCATTTTTCCTTTGGAGTTTCGAAAAAACATTGATGATGGCCAAAAATAGGTCGAAACACAAATGAACCACCTTGTTTAATACATGGTTGAATTCAGAATAAAAAAACCTTTTAGAATCTGTGAAAAAATTATCAGGACCGTATTTAAAAAACAAAAGTTGATGATGGTTCCACGAATACGAAACGTCGCATGAAAAAATCGGTATCACCACGTTGACCGTCATCAAAAGTTGCTATGAAAAAGTATTCTCAGTTTTGCTGTATCTCTAATGATAACGGAGAAAAAAAATAAAATAGAAATTCCAAAAATTCACTTTTTTCGATATAACTCAAAAACTAAAAATAATTTTCAAAATTTTCGAAGGCTCTTGATATGAGCCTCCGAATGCGCAACTTTTTCCCCATTTAACCGATTTCGTATCTCTTACCGTTTTCGAGATCCCCATGCTGTTCAACCTTATCTTGGACAGACTGTATATTGTTCTTTTTTCTATCAAAATAGCAAAAAGCTTCAGTATGACTATGAAGACAACCCCATTCTTCCTTTTGGTCTTCCATTTCTTGTTGGCACACGGAAAAGTAAACAAATGCGGTGAATCCAAGCTCCGAGAGTGTTTTTGCGGCAACCAATTCAAGGACGAGGAAGGACGAGCGGTATTCGTAGTGAATTGCTCGAATTTGGGATTCACCAACGTCGACATGCTGGAACATCTGCCGGAAGAAACAGAGTGGCTCATCTTCACTGGGAACCACGTGAGCACCTTGCCCGTCAATGTTCTCGGGGAGAACAAGAATTTGACAAAGCTCAGGTATATATCCCAGATAGCACAAGTACATCTAGCTTATGAATATACTATGGATATCCATCATGGATATTGTGGATCCGAAAAGGCTATGATATATCCTATGGACGTCCATGCATAGGATGTGACAGTGTGACCTTTTTGGATGTCTTAAAGATATTCATTATGGATATCCATATAAGATATCAACTATGGATATGTATAAGAGATAGTATACCGTATATCATTGAGTATTAGGAGGGTACAGCTATAGAAACTTGGTATGAATCTATAATCTAAGTATTCAAAAGTTTTTTCCAATTGTTTCATGCAAATACTAATCTTTATACTTAGTAGTTAAATGAAATTTGATCAGAGAAACTAATATCATTCAGTATTCACACTGAAAAAATCACAAAAATTGGGAAACACTATTTCTCCAAAACTATCATCACACATGAATTAGTTTAATAAGAAAGAGAGCATTATCTTATTCAGTTGTTTCTATTTACGACATATTTTTCCACTTCAATATTGTTTTAGGTTGAATTTTTTCAGAGATCTAACTGTTTTTCCGATCATTATAATATGAGAGGTGATGTGTTGTATCTCAAGATGTAACTGTATTCGCTCGAACTATTGAGTAGGATATCAGTAAATTCAAAGAATCTGGTTCAATTTTTTCTAGAGATCAGTATGCAAACATCATACGACGAACCATTAAAAAAACTGGTACCCCATACACAGTACATGAATTATGCCATGAGTACATCAAAAGAATGGCAGCTGATTTATATGTGAACATACCAAAAAATTGTAAATTGTCCGATATAAGAGTTCTCAAATTGGACCAAGAAAATCGAAGTTTTGCATCTAATAAGACTTTATACGACCAGCAAGGGTTTGCTAAAGCTTTGATCTCGAATACTAGAAGAAAACTAGACATCTTGAATATGAATCTCAAGGCCGCCAATTTGAAAAAACCCGGAATTACAAAAGCGAAGAAAAATGGGTTAATTTCTATGATCAAAAAATATAAATGTGTGTCGATGTTTTACAATTTTTATGAAAATCTGTAATAGAAAACAATGTGTTCAGTTTCACTGATAAGTTTTGATGTTTCTCATTTTATCATTGAAATTATGAAGAAGGTAGATTCGTTCAATAATGTTCGTTCATGCCCTTTTATTATCCAAGATTCCATTTTGTAACATTGACAATCATGAAGGTATGGTGAAAGTTTTGGATTCAAGAAAGATACATCAGTTAATTTCCCTACAGTTTCTCATTATCGAGAGCTGATACTATGCCGACCTTCGAAGGGTTTATGGATAATAGTTTGTACGAAAAACAGTCAGTATCGACCATACGATTGAGATGATAAAGTCAATTGAAATTCCAACCAATATCAAAATGCTTCTTCTGAAAAACGATGTTTTTTGAGTTGTGACTATTTTCTTCCGGATGAACGATATGTATTCACGGGAACCTGGTCTGCAGCCAAAAAAACGCTGGATTAGTTAGGTGATTTTATTTCAGAGTGATCGACATGACCAATAACGGCATCAGAGACATAAAAGGCAAAGCTTTTCACCACGTACCCAGCGTGACTCGTCTCATTCTCGACCACAACAACATCTCCATTGCCGATCAGTACGACAAAAACTACCACCATCCGAGGTAAAACCACCCGTAAACTTCTGTAATACATTCAATTCGTGCTCAAAAGGGCGCCTAGAGGTAAAGTTATGGGGAAGTCTTGATTCATTCCATTCAACAAGTTTTTTGGGGTGCTCCCAATGGGCACATGTACGTTAATTCAACGTTCGATCATTTAACGTTGTTCAATGTTGTCAAGGAATACGTTTCAGTAACTTATGTACATTGTCATATTCATAAAGTTGGCATCATATGGGAAACACTTTTAAGAATAACTTCGAAATTCGACTTAGACATTAAATTTTGCTTCAAAATGGATGGAGTCGGAGTCACGTGACTTTTGCTACATGCGAGAAGTTGAATTTTTTCAAATTGATCGCTGAAAATAGGCTTATCTGTTCTAATTTCGAAAGAGTCCACGAAGAAAAGTTGTTTCTATTTCAATTTTACTATTGCAACTTTTAGTTCTTGACATTTTTTGATTTCTCCCAATTGTAATTTCGACAAAACTGTCCTAATTCCTGTTCAAATACGTAGAGTAGTTTGGTGATATTTCGATAAATTGACTTTGGCATCATTTCAGTACTGAAAAATTCCATTCAAATGAATTTCGCTTCTGAATGATAGACGGTACGTCAACTTTGCATCAAACATAACATAAATTTGAAGCGGGGATTTCGTAGAAATTGAAAACATATCAAAAACTAAAAGAAGTCAGAGAATGTTCAAATTCGAGACAGATATATGCAAAATTGGAAAAGAAACAACTTTTCCCACTAAACTTTTTTGGAATTCAAAGGAATAAGCCAATTTTCAACAATTGATTTGAAAAAAAACTTACTCTTGACATGTAGCGGAAGTTACGTGACTCCGACCGAGTAGTCCATTTTTCATATTTTTCAAAGCAAAACTTAACGCCCAAGTCGAATTTCGAAATTAATTATTATTAAAAGTTTTCTCAAAATGATACCGACTTAAATAAATGACACTGTATGAGTATACGTGAATATCTAATGATTCGTTGATAAATTTGTTGAATATACGTATTTTTTACTTTGATATACATACTCTTCGAGAGAGAAAAAAAAACGTTATTTCTTGCGACATTTAAACCGAATTTCAACGGTTGGTTAAACAACCAAATCTCAACGTTTTTTCAACGTATATCGGTGCCATTGAGCTGAACCTTTTTCGGGATTCTTTCCAATGAAGCGCCACGAAACTTTGTTAGCAAACATCAGATTCGGATTCAGCACCCCGAAATACGTGTACAATGTATAAGAAATCAAAACTACCCCATAAATTTCCTGATGGTGAGAATAAAATTTAACTTGATAGGATGTTCTCGAATTTCGTGAATTTGGAAGAGCTGCACCTGACCAACGCTTTCGCTGACAACACCGATGCCGCTTTGGCTGACGATCTGCACGATATCTTCGTCAATAGCAACCTCACCAAGCTGTATAAGCTGCATCTGGAACAGAACGAGATCAGGAATTTCAGGGACGACAGGGTGTTCTGCGATTTGCCCGATATCCACGATTTGTACTTGGGTAAGGCTATAGAGTGCCCCGAACATCACATTACACGCCCTTTCAAGATTGTGAACACGCAATCAAACATTTTCTGGATCCAATCTCGACAGAGCAGAGAATTTTTATTTGAAAAACGAGTTACATTTTCATTTTCACGATTCACTGTTGCGTTCCAATCAGGTGGCGTATGAGATCAGTAAGAAGCCTACAATTATTGGCTTATTTTTCGGAACTCTAGCACAACAAAAGCCATCAACAGTGTGTATGATATATATCCGGTACCTACTCACTTTTTTCACACGGGAAAAGGAAATTTATGAAAAGTGACATTTTATAACAACTGTCAAGAGGGATGAAATTTCACACTTTCTTTCCGTCACAGAAAAAACATATTTGTGTCTCATGTTTTTTGTTCACCTGTTTAACAATATGACAAGTGTGTCCACACTCTTTGAAGCACGTGAAATTTGATGTTCGAGGCACTCTAGATAAGGGTATAATGTTTACAGTTTACAGATAAAATTGGGAAGTTTCCTTGAATTTACTCGAATTTTCCTTTCTTCTTGAAGTAATAACTTACATTTGGGATAAAACCACGCTTGGTATGTATGTTTGTAACGGAATCGTTGAACGTGATTTTGTTGACCCATTTCAAAGTGTCGAATTGGATTGAAATTTTGTACACTTATCAAGGATCGATGTCTATAGGATAGTTTTGTTCCATTATTCAGATGTGGATCTTCAGGATGAGCAATTTTTTTCACGATGATGAATGATGTTTCATCACCAAATTTTCAAATGTTTCGCCACCAAATTTTCAAATGTCCCGCCAGAAAAATTCCAAATGTTCCTCCACCAACATTTCAAATGTCCCGCCACCAAAATTTGCGATTTGACCCACTCCAACCACTTCAAAACGTCGAATTGATGGCAATAGCATAAATGGATAGCTTTCTTCCATTCTCCTGATCAGGATGTTCATCAGGATGAACGATTTTTCCACATTCAGACAATGTCTTACAACAAGTACTCGTATGAAATAGTTTCATTCAGAGAGACGGCCGTGTCTTAAACCACGTACTCGTATGAAATGAATTTTCCGGAGAGGGAGCCTGACAAAACGGTTATAAGATCCATGGGATGCGGTAGGTACTCGGTAAAAGCACGCTTCTGTAGTTGTAGTAAATAGTAGGTAATAAAACTAAAATAATACGCTTTTATCGATAGCTACCTAACAAATAAAGTAAGGATAAAATAACGAAAGCGTGTTGATTAATACACACAATTTTACGGTTATTTATATATCAAGGGTATATATCTGGTTGAATCGCGTCTAGAATCTGTAGATGCTCGACATTTCGGCACCGATTTTGGAGCCATTTTCAAGAACTGAAAAATAGAAATAAAAAAGATGATAGGAAAATATAGGGAGTAATTTTTCACTGAAGTCTCAATCTGCCTACTACTGGGTCACTGGTTCTCTCTAAGGTCTCAATCTGCCTACTCCTTCGAGAGAACTGAGTGTGTAGGTGGTGGAACGGTATTTATAGTGGATGTGGTGGTCAGTGAAACGGAATTAGGAGCGTGGTTTGTTATCGCGCAGGGTGTGGAAAGGCGGGAAATGAGAGGTTTCCAAGTGCTAGAAAGCCTGCGACCGTCGTCGCGAGTATTGAGACAATCAGGTTGCTTCTCTATCTCAAGGGCTTCTCGGATTATCCTTGTATGCAGAGTTCTTTCGGTGGCGATTGTTTTGGCGTTTTCGAAATCTATTGAATGGCCTGTTTCTTCGTAATGTTTGAAGAGTGCCGAGGAAGGGTCTGATTTTCGGACTACGAGTTGATGTTCGTAAACTCTGCTGGTAACGCTGGCCAATATATGTTCTTGGGCAAACTGAACAAGGTATTTTATATGATATGCTTTGAGAATCATTTGATATTGTGATCTTGGGGGTTCTGAAGACGAAGAAGCGTATGTCATTGGAATTCAAGAAGGATATTATTGTTACTGATTACTCAGATTACACAGGTTTTATAGGTATATCGACGCCAAAGAACCCGTGAGAGTAAATTGACAACTTTGTTTCCTTAAATAAGGGAGCAAACGCCTACTTTCGATTCAGTGAGTAGATACAAAATATTATAGCACCTCCGTAATCAGTATTTTATATGTTGTCTATTTATCAACACGCTTCCATTCCTTTATTTTCATTTTTTTTAGTTCAGGTATCTATAAAACCGTTTTTTTCTGTAGTTTTTTGAACTACAATTTATTTTACACCAATTCGCAGGTTTATTTCTTACACCCAGGTGGCAACACTGATTCAACATATGCGAGAATACCTACTACTATATCCGATGGCCCTTATTTATTGTCAGTAAGAAATAACATTCAGCTACATCCGATCCAGGACATCCCAAGGATGTTCCCGCAGATACATTCTCTTATGGAAATGTACCAGATATCAGGACATTTGAAAATATATCTTTCTTCGGTTATCCATACAGGAACAGGATTATTCAAGACCTAATACTTCATTATTTTTTCAAACGAATACATTTTACGTTTCACTTAGCTATATGTTAGAGCTCTTTCTCAAACCCCACACGCATATGCACCATCCAAGTTTTATTATAATTATTCAACAATCATCAAGGTTCGTGATATTTTTTTATTCTTAGGAGATAACAACATCCCCAGTCTGAACTTCAACATAACCTGCCTGCCAAAGCTGCGCTTTTTGGACCTGGAGCAGAACAACATCACAAGGTTTTCGCAGCGTGACCTTGACAATTTCGACAAACTGGCCCAACCTCACCGCGTCAACAACCTCATGATTGAAATCAACGGAAACCCCTTCAGGTGAGTAGAAGCTATACAGGGTCGGTGATATGTATGGAAACAGGTGAATATCTCGGTAACCTGTTGTTAGTTTTTCCACCGGTGGTTTTTCTTTGAATTTATGTTCAGTGCGATTGATTGCCACCTTTTCAGTTATTCCGTTTTTTTGTAACTCCCTTATTTTGAATGAAACACCCTGTACTTTATTGGATTTTCAGATTCTCTTTGAAGAGCTGATTCCATCGATTCATCACACTTGGGGTTTAGCGGGAATGATTACATAGGTATAGGGTGTTTAAAATCTAGATTTTTCAAGTTTAGAATTTTTTTCTGTCGAATCATCCATTATCGATCAAAATCGCTCCGATGTTCCTACCTTTACTTTTGATTTACTATCTACTGACATTTAATTGGAACAGATACAGAGGGTGATCAGAATTCTGAATCTTGAACGCGTCGTGAAACGTCTCGTGTATTTTCATTGATTTTGTCAAATAAAGGCGAGTTTTCGTGAAAAAATAAATTGGAAAGTGGGTACTCTCCAGGTGATTACCGCCTAAAATAGTTTTGTTTCCGGATGGCAGCTCTCAGATCCATTGCAGATATCGAATGAAAGCAATGAGGGTAAAACTGCATTTATAATGCGATGGTTTTTTTTTTACGAAAATTTTTATGGTACCTACCTACTTATTGTTGTCTGAAAAACACGAATTTGATAATGAAAATATAAACAAACCATCATTTATCAATATATTTCATTATAAAGTTACAAATTTCATCTTCTTTTCCGCCTTTCTTCTGGATCGCATTTAGAACAATTTTACCTCCTTTCTTCATCATTGGACAATTTATATATATCACAATGTAAGACAATGTTTTTCCTATTCAGTCAACTAGTAATATGATTTTATTGTGATTTATCCAAATTTAGTGGAAAGAAGGAAGAATATCATTTAAAATAATGGCGTGTGTAGTGTGACATTTGACATCTCGTATTTGGATTGACTATTGATTGAATGGCCGTCATCTGGTATGCTTGTTCACTACATATGAGAAACTCGCAATAAAAATCACATTTCCTGTTGAATTTTCACTTATAATATTTCGAGAGCTCCAATTATTTCTGGAAATTTTCTCGAGAACACCAATATTTTGAAAATTTACTAAATATTCGTGTTCGATAAAACATTCCCGGATATTAATTGAGGCTAAAGTGGAAATCGGTAAGAAAATTTCACACTGAATTATTATATTGCAAGTATACCTACATAATATTATATGGTAAACTGTTGATGAATGATTTTCATTTATTGACTTATAGAATGAACTCGAAATGATCTGAAGTTGAATGCAAATGTCATTTAACCTATAAACATCGAAAAATTTCAAAGAAAATTGTTTAGTTGCTATGGTAACGATACGAAAGACAGGCTTAAAATTGATCGAAAATGTTTGGTGTGAAATTTTCTATATAAAAATGTGGCATTGAAGTACATCATGAGTATATAAAGTGTCCAATGACAAAATAAGAAGAGCAAGTAGCTGTGAATGCATCCAACAGAGGGGGAAAACGAAGGGAAATTCCGAACTCTATCTTGAATTATCTCGATAAATAGTGGTTTTGTGCACATTTTCATTATTAAATTCGTGTTTTTCAGACAAAAATACGTGAGTACCAAAACAAATTCTAGGAATAAACCCATCGCATGATAAATTTAGTTTTACCGCAATAAGGTGTTAAATTCGTCCTTGGTTTTTCTTTCCAGGTGTGACACCGCCATAAAAAACTTGTACACCTGGTTGCACAAAACTAACGTGACAGTGAGAAACGTCGATAAACTCGAATGCCATCAGGCCAAGTACGGCACCAAAATCATATTGAATCTGAAGGTTCTGGTGGAAACCACCCACGCCAAGATATCCCAAGCGCTGATGATTGTGCTCGTGATTTTGGTGTTCATTTTGTTGACTCTCATGGGAGCTTACGTTTACTTGAAGAAGGAGAGCGTCAAGAAACAGTGGAGGCCGATCTTGGAGGCGGTTTCTAAGAAAGTACAGTATAACAGGATAGAGACGCAAGATGTTTGAGAGATAGTGGCAAGAAAGAGGATTGACGACAATAGGTATATTATGTCAGTGATTGTTTATGTTCCTCATCCTTCAAGTGAACTGTAATCATATTCATGTTTTCTCGTGATGTATTGCTCTACAAGAGCAGACTTCTATAACATATATACAGGGTTGGGAATATGTGTGGAAACACCTTATAATATCTCGAAAACGACAATGGGCTTATATCACAAAAAAAATTTATTTCATAATTCGATAGAACTCACCCAAACTAGCTCACCACCGCAAACCGTTTCTTGCTGTGAGCTCCCTACGTTTTATAAAAAAAATTTGAAATCCCCGATTCTTCGGACCTCTGAAAACGAGGCGATGATGTGACGTCAAAACCCTAATACTGAAACAAGATCATTCCAGACAGAGATGAATGACACATGATTTCTGACAGAGTGAATGAGCGCGAGATCACAGTTGAAAGAATTAATATATCAGTTGCCTCAGTCTCCGTCGAGCGTTTGGTATTTTCTTGTAACTATGGCGCGATGAGGTTTTTACGTCATAAGAGGGTCCGTTTTCAGAAGGTACTATTATTTATGTCCAAAAATAAAACATTCCAGTTAATTTTTCGATCGAATTATGTCGTCAATAATTATTTATGTATAAAAGGATCATTATAAACATGGTTTGAGTTAAAAGTTCTACTAGGGTGTACACGCCCATTGCGATCTCAATGAAACTCAGTCCCTGGGAACTGTTTGACCTGGGGAAATCAAATCATCGTATCAGCAATGTTGCCAGATTTCTGTATTTTGCTGTGGGTGACAAAACTTTGTTTTTTTCAAATGCAACACCAAGTTTATTATAATTGCATTCGATTGCTGATGCTTTATTCGATAGAACCTCCAATTAACAAATTTCAATTCTGAATATATTTTCTGAGATTTGGCAAACCAGCATTTTTGGAAAAAAGAATTAGAACTCCTGGATATCTCTGAATCAATAGATGTTATATCGATGAATTTCAGTACCCAGGGGCTGTTCGACCTGAGAAAGTCACAAATGGTATCGGCGATGTTGCCAAATTTCTTTATTTTGCTTTGCGTGGCACAACTTTGCTCTGGAAATGCAATACTCAGTTCATTATCAATGCATTCAATTACTGATGCTCCATTTGATAAAACCTCAAATTAATAACAAATTTCAATTCTGGATATTTTCTGAGATATGTCAAACCAGCATTTTTTAATAAAAGGATAAAAATTCGTGAATATCTCCGAAACAATAGATGTGATATCAATGAGTTCCAGTAACTAGGGGCTGTTTGCTTTGGCGAAGTACAAAATCTTATCGGCGATGTTGCCAGATTTCTCTATACTCCTGTACGTGGCACAACCTTGTTTTTTTAAAGGTAACACCCAATTTATCATCACAGCATTTGATTGCTGATGCTTCATTTTATAAAATCTCAAATTGACAAATTTCAATTCTCGATATTTTCTGCGATTTGGCAATTTGAGGTTCTATCAAATATGGAGCATCAGAAATTTAATGCGGTAATGATACGCGGTATGTTACATTTAGAAAGAAACAAATTTGTACGCACAGCAAAATACAGACATCTGGCAACATCGCCGATACGATTTTTGACTTTCTCAGGTAGAACATCCCACACGTACTGAAATTTATCTAATACTGTTCCGGAGATATTCAGGAGTTTTTATCCTTTTTTTTTTCAAAGCATCAGTAATTGAGTGCAGTAACTTATTATTACTGTGTGTTACATTTGCGAAAAAATAGATTTGTGCCACGCACAGCAAAATGAAGAAATCTGGCAACATTGCCGATACGATTTTTTACTTCCTCAGGTCGAACAGCCTCCAGGTACTGAAATACATCGATATCACATCTATAGTTTCGGAGATGTTCTGCAGGTTTTATCCTTGTTTTCCAAAAATGCTGGTTTGCCAAAACTCAAAAAATATCAAGATTTGAAATTTATCAATTCGGGGTTCTATCAAATGAAGCATCGGCAATCAAATGCAGTAATAATAATCTGGGAGTTGCTTTAAAAAAAGTTGTGTCACGCATACTCGCACAGCATAATACAGAAATCTGGCAACATTGCCAATACGATTTTTGATTTCCTCAGGCCATACTCATTGGGAGAGCATTTGTCGTTTTCGAGATATCAAGGTGTTTCCACACATATGCTCAACCCTGTATATGTATACATAAACAGTGTGACCAAGATAAGGTTAAATTTGGTTAAATAGGAGAAAAGTTGCGCATTCCGAGGGTCATATCCAACGGCCTTCAAAAATTTCCAAAAATTATTGCAAGAGAAATTGAATCCTGGAGTTTGCCTGGAATTTCTGCAAATTCTTAATTAGAGGCTAACAGCTGAACCATGGCGTTTGCTTTTGGCGAGGTTAGCAGCATCGGGAGTTTCAAATACCTTTTGTAATTTGAGAAAGAAGTGCGATTCATTGTGTCATTTTATGTCTCATAGATCCCATTTCATGTATTACTTCAATTTTGGAAACAGCTTATCAATTAAATTGATCTAGTAATTATTTATTGAAACTTTGAATATATCCCTGACTTTGTGGAGTATTTTAAATATTAAGTAGTTCATTCATAAATAATATAGTCATTAGATTCTAATATGTAGCTCATAAGTATATTATTTATAACATAAATAAGGGTGCTACTAGTGGTGCTATACTTCACTTTACTATTTTTATAGAAAGTATAAACTTCTCAACAATTGACAAGAATAATAAACTGTTTTCAATGACGATTTCCATTTGGATTTCCTCAGATTCTGAACTATTTTATAGGTATTGAGTCATTGAAATCAGCAACATTGAAACTTTGCAATGTTTCAAATTACTTCATTCATTCCTATATAGATGCTCATAATTGAAACAAAAAAGTTATATAGCTTGTAAATATTTTTTTGTATATATATTTTTATAACGCTTTTGAAAGTTTTATGATTATTCATATGATGAATCTAATTTATGCTGATGGTTTTAATAAAAAATATTCTTTCAAGGAAATTTTATAATCATTACTAACAACTAATCACCAAACAAGGGCGGATCCAGGGGAGGGGCTATAGGGGTCATGCCTTCCCCCCCTCGCAAACCTCATGAATATGTGAAAATGTCGGTAGATACCAGAAAAAAAATCTGTGAATATCCATACTTAATAGCTAGCCTCCTTGACCCACATACGATATTATCGAATATCAATAATTTTGAGAGATCTCTCTTTTTTTCACTTCTTCTATCCAATATCAACTATTAAAGAGATCTCCAATCTTAGACTACTTGGCAAATTGAGTTCGAAAATTCCAGTGAAAAAACGTTTCATGGTAAATATTTGTTTTACCTGACTTAAAACAAAGAATTTCCAACTTCACAAAAATAAAATAATTTTCAACTGCAAACTCGAACTTTCCGTCTGATGAGTAGAGAATCATTCGATACCTACGCCTATGGTAGCTATAACAGTATCAGAATCCGTGTCACAGCTACGATAATTTCATATGTTTCTCTTGCAACTCCCTTATTCGAACTTGTATTTTCAATGAAATGGTGCATAATTATTGGCATCGAGGGAATAGAAGCTTCGTAATATAGAATAGCTGGATACACATAGCTAACTTCCTTCTGAGTTTGAGATGCAACTGTACATATACAGGGCGATTCTTGACAGATACGCATACAAGTATGAGAACTGAGAGAACTAATACCTCATGATAAATAATGACTATAATGATGCAAACAACTTCAGTAATATAGGGATTTAGTTACCTAATATATAAGTGCTGTATATCTCTGAAGAACACAAAAATACGGTTTTGGAATTTATGAAATATTGAGTGGATGACCCTTATTCATTTCATTTTTATTTCACTGAAAGTGAGTATTATTACCTCATATTATAATTCAATACGTTCTGTCGGGAATCGAAAATGGTAACAAATCGCCAAAAAATTTTTCGTTTTCCAATTCTTTATCGCTGATATGAATGTAAAAATTGAATTTTTACGTGATGATACGTGCATGTTCCTTCAACATCAAACTATTTATGGTGGTCCATAATATTTCATTTCACCCTGTATACATGGTGTCCTGAAATTACATAGAGGGATTCCAACCACAGATTCTAGAGACAAAAATAGTAGAAAAAAATCAATATTAACATGTGAGTCCAAAAATACCCTCTCCCCCTAGGGGTTCTTAAGCATCTGGAATGGAGCCCGAGTTAGTGTTCTTTGTATATATTTTCGAAACCTTCTGTTATAAAACGCATACCCAATTTGAAAATATGTTAGTGATTTTCCGAAATTTTGATCAGGGGCGTAGGAAATAGATGGGGCTAGAGGCACTTTTTCCAACAACTCCTTTGTTTATGTAATTTTCGAATTGAACATAGAACGTATGGTAAATATATTTATCACAAAGAGTTTCGAGAATATTCACATTAAACCATCATCTCTGGCCCTCCTTTAGCTATAACCCCCCAGGAGGCCATTTCTGGACCCATGATCATGTCAATTTTTAATACATTTTTTCGTAGAATCTGTAGTTGAAATTTTCCTATGTAATTTCAGGAAACCCCCATCCTGTATAGGATATGGATTGAGTGTTCAGCATCAGAGAGTCATAATAATATATTGTCACAAACTGTAGGCGGGGGTTGCCTAAGTTGTGTTCTACATCCATTTGAGAATGAACTTCAAAAGTGAAAATGATAAATAATACTCAAAAGGGTTTTTCCAACAAAACACATAGACACATTAATTTATTCTTGACTTCAATGAATATAACAATTAATGAAAACTTAACTTGCCCTATATGCACAAGTTAAATGGTATTTCTGGGAGCCTGAGAAAAGGCATCTTCTTCTGCCAGAACTCCGAAAGTTCGGGCACAGTGGCAAATGATTGAATCAACTGATTGATCGAGTCAAATGATCGAATGAAAAAATGATGTAATGTTCAATCTGTATTTTGGAAACGTGACAGTGAGCAGTTACCCTTTTGCCATGTACATGTAGGTTCGTCAGTTACGTTTTATGAAACACAATACATAAGTTATTCGAGAAAACATATAACATTTAACAGATATATACATTTTAGGCTGGTTAGCGACAGATGCAGAATATAATGTAGTTAGTTATGTAACGTTAAGTTAGAAAAAATGCACAGATAGATGGTAATCATTTCATGGATGTTAAATGCATTTGAAATTCAGAAACATCATAGAAACTATTTGAGGTTAGAATTTTTTTAAGATCAGTCTTGAATCTCTTCAGAGATTGATTTTTTATTGATTCAGGCAGTAAGTTTTAGAGATGACTCCCGCTATATTTCGGAGATTTTTTGTACTCCATATGATGAAACTTTTTCCTATAAATATGATTGTGATTTCTAGTGGTGTATTTGTGAATTTCTTTAGATGGTGTTTGCTTTTATGGATGTGAC